TTTCTTGACACTTTAGAATTGTTGTGTTTTGTTCGTAGGCTGCCCCTCTCCCCCCCCCCCCACACATGTGTGTATATTTGGCTTCGCGGCTGAGTGGACTGCGCTCTGGGGTTGTAGTCCTGAGGGCCCGGGTTCGATCCCTGGCAGAGGCAGAAATAAATGGACAGTTTCTTTCATCCGGGTGTACCTGTTCACCTAGCAGTAAATAGGTACCTGGGAGTTAGTCAGCTGTCATGGGCTGCTTCCTGGTGTGTGTGTGTGTGTGTGTGGTGTGAAAAAATATAGTCAGAAACAGTTGATTGACAGTTGAGAGGCGGGCCGAAAGAGCAGAGCTCAACCCTCGCAAGCACAACTAAGTGAAACACACGCGGATGTCAGGGTGTAGAAAGAGATATGAGAGACATGTGACAATTAGCATAAAGACCGAGGTGTAAGTGTAGGTATATAAGGTGTACAGTGACAAGTGAGGCTCCACGGGGGAGACATCTCCCGTCACGCAGGGTGCAGTCGCACCTCCACACATCTCCAGTATCAGCTCTTGATACTGGTAATGGCTCAAAAGGGCCACCACTTACGGGCTATTCGTGCCCGTGCCACCTTTTGGGTGGCTTAATCTTCATCAATCATCAATCAAGTGAGGCGCGGCTGGACACACACCAACCACACGTCTACCACAATACTTCCCCGACTCTAAGTGTCCACCAATGGCATAAATCTGAGGTGGACCCGCTACACACCTCTTTACGGGCTCACCATAGCCGGTGCTACATGAACACTTCGTCCTGAGTAGCTAAATCTTTAACAACAACAACGCTAGACACCACCTCCATCAATAGTTTTAAAAATAGCTTCAAGAGCTGAAGTTCGACCTTTCAGACTCAAATAAGCGAGTGCATATAGGTGAGTACACACATACGCACACAAGACCAGTCCTTGGGGTAACCCCGTTACCTTGGTGTTCGTGTTTGGTGATGGGGGGATGGTGGAGAGGGAGGTGTTGTGGTGGGGAGGGTGGAGAGATCTGTTGTGGTGGGGGAGGGATGTGTCGTGATGGAAGAGGTCATGAAGATGTTGTCCTGGTGGGGGGGAAGAGGTGTTGTAGTGGGGGAGGGGGGGAGGAAAGGGGGGACTGTTTCAGGTGGTGTTGTGGCATATTTTTATTTTTGTCCACTTGTCTGGCCTGAGTGCACTTACCTCATATATTTATCCTATCTCTCCCACTCTTGGCGCCATTGTGTCTCCACTGTAGGTGTTGCCATGTAAGAGTGAGAGGCAGGAGAGGAACGTGTGTACACCAGAACCTGCTCTTGAGCACCAGCACCAGCGTCCAGCGAGGCAAGGTCATCCTCCCAGTAACAGTCGCTTGTATCATCTTAACCCCTTGGGGAGAATGGGGGACCTCCTCCGGCCCGGGGGTGAGGGGGAGAGTGAGAGAGGGAGAGAAGAAGAGAGAGGGAGACTCAAGACTCATCAATCATCAACTTTCAGCGATTTCTACCTGGGGTAGGAGATGGCAGGTCACATTTGTGACTGAGAAAACACAAGCGATGGTGATGTCTGCACGTGGCAAATCAGACAGGCTTGCAAATGGGTGACAAAACCCTAGAGTTCACAGTTGAAATTGACATATTGGGAATGAAGTTCGACTATTCAATGACAATGAAGAGCCACGTGCTTAACCTAGCTCAAAAGGCAGCCAGGAACCTTACAGCCCAACGGTACATCTCACATTTTGACAGCGAGGGCAACAAAACCTTATATGCAGCACAAGTTCGCTCTCAGCTAGAGTATGCAGCCCTCTCCTGGACCGCCCCCCCCCCCCCATCATTCATCACACCATTTTTGTCACATTCGGTAATATATATATATATATAATATATATATATATATATATATATATATATATATATATATATATATATATATATATATATATATATATATATATATATATATATATATATATATATTAGTATATTTTGGTAGCAGTCTTTCCTGTAGACATATATTATTAAATATGACCGAAAAAGTAAGATTAATAATTCTAACACGAATTTTCTCAATCTTTCGTACATTACGCTTCACTGTTGGAGGTAAATCAAAAATCACTTCTCCAAAATTCATTTTTATTTCTAGTCTGACGCGACACGGGCTCGTTTCGTAAAACTTATTACATTTTCAAAGACTTCACAAATACACAACTGATTAGAACTTACGTATCTCTGATTTTATATCTACATTTGAGTGAGGTGGGAGGGGTGATGTGGCATTAACACAAGACAGAACAAGAGGGGATATTAATAGGGTATTAAAAGTATCAACACAAGACAGAACATAAACAATGGGTATTGAATAGAAGTGTTTGTAGAAAGCCTATTGGTCCATATTTCTTGATGCTTCTATATTGGAGCGGAGTCTTGAGGTGAGACTCAAGACTCACCGAGTCTTGTGACTCGGAGTCACCTCAAGACTCCGCTCCAATATAGAAGCATCAAGAAATATGGACCAATAGGCTTTCTACAAACACTTCTATTCAATACCCATTGTTTCTGTTCTGTCTTGTGTTGATACTTTTAATACCCTATTAATATCCCCTCTTGTTCTGTCTTGTGTTAATGCCACATCACCCCTCCCACCTCACTCAAATGTAGATATAAAATCAGAGATACGTAAGTTCTAATCAGTTGTGTATTTGTGAAGTCTTTGAAAATGTAATAAGTTTTACGAAACGCGCCCGTGTCGCGTCAGACTAGAAATAAAAATGAATTTTGGAGAAGTGATTTTTATTTACCTCCAACAGTGAAGCGTAATGTACGAAAGATTGAGAAAATTCGTGTTAGAATTATTAATCTTACTTTTTCGGTCATATTTAATAATATATATATATATATATGTATATATATATATATATATATATATATATATATATATATATATATATATATATATATATAATATATTGCTCTAGTGCTCTTGGGAGGTGGTGATCTTTGGTGTATTTAAATACTCCGAAATTACCATCTCTTTTAAGGGTCTGAGCAGGTGGTGGAGCGGGTTAAGGCGTACCTGTTATGCCAGTTGCTGGAAGGCTTCTGTGCTGGCTAGGGTTCGAGTCTCCTGGTGGGAAAGTGTTCTAAAGTTATATATATATATATATATATATATATATATATATATATATATATATATATATATATATATATATATATATATATAGAGTATCACACGCAGTCTGTAAGTGACAGCTCAAGAGCTCATCACAGGCCAGCGGATGATAGTCAAATGATGACCAGACCACACACTAGAATGTGAAGGGACGACGACGTTTCGGTCCGTCCTGGACTATTCTCAAGTCGATTGTGTGGTCCAGGACACAATCGACTTGAGAATGGTCCAGGACGGACCGAAACGTCGTCGTCTCTTCACTTTCTAGTGTGTGGTCTGGTCAGTGTAAGCAATTTATGTAATGTTTTACCTTATTTTTAACTTTGGATAAGAGAAGGTAATGCAGTATTGAAGTTGACGCGAGATGTAGTTACCCACACGAACTGAACTGCCAGAGATAAGTTTAGCCTGGCAACATTTACTGATGAGGCGTCATCTAGTGCTTGTGTCACCAGATCCATGTACGGGTTTTGGCCGATATATTTCACTGCGATAAAGAATGGATTTTCTAGTTTCCATTTGCACTCTTGTGTTGTCTGAGAGTTCTTTCCGTATGAGACTTTGAGGCTTGTGTTTGATCACCCAAGATTCTATTCAACAGTAGGCTGTATATATTTATTACAAGTTTGGTGTACCGTCGACTTTATCGTGTTGTATGTTATTTAGGCTTTGTGAGGGTGTGTATAGATCTTTAGGTCAGGCTTCAGAAAGAAGAACATTGCAGCTTGATTGTAAGTTATTTAGAGATTATGGTGAGGATAAGCAGTCGATGTTTAAGCTGTGTGTCTGCATTATTTCCAATAATCTTGGTCGCTACTAGAATAGTCACTACTTAAACTTGTAATGTGGGTGCTGCTATCCCTACACGGAGACATAGAGGGCCCCTTTGATCATTACTAAGAAGGGAAGAATTATGAGAAGACGCTCAATAGTGAAACATAGGGCGAAGGTATATAGTCTGGGATGACTCACCATCAGTATCTTAGTGATAGTGAGAGAGAGAGAGAGAGATAAGAGTGGCAGCACTCTGGCTACCACACTGTAAGGACCAGAGTTCACTCAGTATATAACTTAATCGAAGAGATTCTTCGTTGGTAAATTGCATGTTATTGTTTTTCGAAATCTGCAGATTAATGAAAGTGGATTTAGAATAATGAGTGTGATGGTGTGATGTGCAGCAAGGACTCGCGGAGAGATGACTCAGTGTGCACTAGGGAGAAGAGTGTGCTATACGAGACAATGAGAAGTGTGGACAGTATGGGAGTAGCGAGGCAAGACTTGGCCAGGAGTGAGAGAGTGTCATGGCGGGCGGGAGGTGGAGGACACACACATGATACTCGGGACACTTCAGCCTAGGTTCAGGCGCTTCCAACTCTCCCGCGGCCATGACGCCGCCTTACCCAGTACCCACGTGGTGGGCGTGGGCGGCTCTTGTGGGCGTGGTCGTCTTGCAGGTGGCAGCCAGTGATGGCGGGGCGTCCGTGACCACCACCCTCACTCCTGCCCCCACCACCACAGGGGGCGCCACCAACGCCACCATAGGGGGCGCCACCACAGTGGGAGCCACCACCACAGTGGGAGCCACCACCACAGGGGGAGCCACCAACGCCACCACCACAGTGGGCGCCACCACAGGGGGCGCCATCACAGGGGGCGCCACCAACGCCACCACAATACCGGTGCTGACCACCAGCATGGAGACCCCGCGGGTGGAGGTGTACACAGAGAGGAACGTGACGCAGGTAAACATAATCTGTCCGTCAGGGCCGCGACTGTTCCCCGGGGTGTCCAGGGCCCCGGACCGGGCCACCACCCCGGACGCTGCCGACGCCACCGCCTACGCCACCACAACCCTGGTGACGCCAGCCGTGTCTGGCCGCGGCGTTGAGGTGGACCTGGGCCAGCTGGAGGATGGTGGCGGCAACCAGCTGGTTGTGGATGTGGAGGGGTGCGGCGAGGTGGGCGTGGGCGGGGGCGTGCCCAGGTGGGCGGAGGGCCTGACCCTGGCCATCAAAGGGTCACTGATGCTCAGGTCAGGGTGGTGGGAGGGGGCGGAGGCCCTGAGGGAGGTGTGGATGCGTGTGGCCATTGGTGTGGATGGTGAGAGGCTGTGCCACGCCCTCCCGCCCACACTGGAGACGCTGGATGTGTCACACACGCCCATGGACGCCCTGGTGATGGCACCTGAGTGTGTCCCGCCCACCCTGCAGCGTCTGGAGGCCTCGCGCGCCGCCCTCGCCCGCCTGCAGCTGTGCACGCCCACTCTGGTCACCCTGCGGGTCTCCAACAACGAGGTGGACGCCGGGATGCAGTGGGCGTCGTGCGAGGACGGTGTGGCGGGCGTGGAGTTCCTGGAGGCCAACAACAACCAGCTGACGGCGGCCAGCACCTGCGGCTGGGCCGGTCTCCGCACCCTCGACATCAGACACAACCTCCTCCGTGACCTCGACCTCGCCGCCTGTCCACCAGCGAACCTCACGCACCTCAACGCCGCCCACAACTATCTAGTGCTGCCGCCCACACTTCCGCCCACTCTGCTTCTCTTGGACCTCAGTCACAACCAGCTCACCACTCTACCCACCCTCACACACGCCCTCACGGTAAGTTACTTTCTCACTCCTCTCATAATTCTCCTCTTTCTTGTTTAATTAAGACCACAGATCAGCGAGAGCGCGCGCTAGGTGCTGACTTGTGCTTCAACGGCTCAAACCTCACCCCAGAAACTCTTTTAAACGCTGTTTTTATTAGTTTCCATTAAGAATGAACTGTGCTTAGTGGTAAGTAACAGTCATATTAGTAACAGGTTGAAGCTGGAGCCAACTGTACGCCAGAGCTTCATATGGGCAGTTGACGACTCCCCGCGTATCAGCGAGTTGAGCCATCATGGTCCAAATACTTGTCAGTCAAGGAATGAATGGTCGCTGATGGAGTGATGTTCTAGAACCAAGAGAGTGGCACCTCCAGCATGAAGCTGTTGACGGTAGGGCGCCTTGTGCTGGGGTTATCATCTGGTTATCCACCAAGCTGGGGCCAGGTAGGAAACTTTCACAACACGACGAGTGGGGTTCACGGTGCTAGATGGTATGAAGCATATCTTCTAAATAATCCATTATTCTACTTCGTGAAAGCTGTCAGAGTGTAAAGCTTGGGGGGAGAGAGTGTGCCAGAACGTCTGAGTGAGTGCATCTTTCGTGACGTCTAGACGTCACTTGGGGTGACATCTGACCAGTGTGTCCTGAGGCAGAGACTAGATCATTTGGAAAGATAACATTAAATACCTAAATACCAGTGTCTTTCGGCGAAGATTTTGAGGCTTGTATATTCTGATTTCAAATGCAGTTTTCAAGTAATCCATTTTGGCGAGTGGTCACCTTCAGTAAGAAATTTTAGAGGACTTTTGTATAATAGTTTGCCTGAGAATGTTGATGTCACTAGGGTATATTTGACTGAATTGTAGATTATTTTCACAAGCTAATTAAATGTTTTGCCGGCATTTGAAAATGATTCTGGCTTCGTTTTGAACATTTATTCAATACAAGGCCTACAGGCAATAGCCTATTCGTGTTGATGATACCACGAATGAATACAATAATATCAGTGTATTTCAGAAATGTTTGTGACCACCTTAATGACTTGTCTCTTGTGGGTGTGGCGTGTGACGGGCGTGACGGGCGTAACACGGAGGGCAGGACGTGGACGTGTCACACAATAGGGTAGTGGAGGTGGGAAAGTCACGGTTCAAAAGAGCGCGCAAGTTGCTCCGTCTCAACCTGGCCTTCAATCACCTGACGCGGCTCCACGGTCAGTCCTCACCTCAACCAATCTCTTGTACCAATACTTATACTTATATACTTATACTTATACTTATACTTTAAAAACAACAAACTGTCTACGCAGTATTCCTGCGCCGTGATCATAGACGCCGTTATACGCGAGCTGTCATATTCTCTCTCTTGTGTCATACAACTCCATATAATATCGCAGAGAGAATACATTAATTGATATTTCACTTTTTACACCATTTCCTTTCTTTCCTTATATCCATAATACTTATACTTATTTCCAGGTCTCTTCTATAGAATTATTATTTTAAGTTCATTACATCATCTTGTGTATATAAGTACCACTTATACTTATATACTCATATTGAGTATATAAGTACTTATGTACTTGTATACTCGGTTTTAATGTTAATGTCTTGTATAATATTAAGCCTATTGTAATTTTTATATGCATAAGCACTTGTCATAAATCTATCGATTTATAGGCCTAAGTAATAATTGATGTCTAGCAAGTTCTTTAGTACACCCGTTATCAAAATGCTTTGCTCCTTTGAAAATACAACGCGCTAAATTTTATTTAGGGACGTTTCCTTTCATCTACTGCATCTGTTCCCAGCAGTAAGTAGGAATGCGGAATTAGGCAAGTTTTGTGGGGGTTACATCCTTGGGAGGTTCAGTAGTTCAGCTTTGGCAGTGATTTCGATACAAACCTAAGGTATATATATAGTATATATGTAAAGGCTCCATTATAGCGAGTGGTAGAACCCTTCATTCTCCAGGTGAGAGGCGGGTAATCCATATCCGCCAGCCAGATAAGAGGCCGCAGTCAATACCATCATGTCGGTCAAGGCGGAATATTGAGCCGTGGATCAGTACCCCTCACACACATACAAGGCATCCACACACACATGGTGGACTCCACACCCATCTTGTGTGGTGGACTCCACACCCATCTTGTGTGGTGGACTCCACACCCATCTTGTGTGGTGGACTCCACACCCATCTTGTGTGGTGGACTCCACACCCATCTTGTGTGGTGGACTCCACACCCATCTTGTGTGGTGAACTCCACACCCATCTTGTGTGGTGGACTCCACACCCATCTTGTGTGGTGGACTCTACACTCATCTTGTGTGGTGGACTCCACACCCATCTTGTGTGGTGAACTCCACACCCATTCTGTGACGTGTGGATCACTACTCATCCTGTGGGCGGTGGCAAAAAGGTTACAGAGTACCAAAGTGGGTGGTTAAGATACTAGACTCCAATGTCGTATAGGCTAAGCAATTTACATTAGTGGTGAATTAGTTGCAAATAGTTAAAAAAAATCCTCAAATTGTTTCATCAAATTACAAGGGTAATGAGGCAGTTACAGCACTGTAGTTTGTGTTGTGACAGGGGGTCTGTAGGTAAACAAGTAGAGACTTATTGTAGCCAGTGCAAATGCAATCAAGTTTTCAACGACATTGAAGAAATTTACGTTGATATGGCAAGAACAGTTGTGAAATTGAAATTGAAATAAGTTTATTGAAGTAAAATACACACACAAAGGGATGAGGTAGCTCAAGCTATTCTTACCCCGTTCAGTACATCGTGTTACATATAAACATATCACATCACAAACAATAAACATAATACCAAACATTCTGAGAGATAAACATATACATTTCCTGAACAGTTGTGAGGTTGTTGCAGTATACTTGTACTCTATGAATTTATTAGATTAATTAAAAGTTAAGTCTTCACTGTGAGGTTAGAAGAGATATGGACGAAAGTTAGTGAGTCTGTATTGGTTTGTACATAAAGCCAAGATTGTGTCCTCAGAGCGGGACTTGGCTGGGCTACGGAACTTGCGAATGTTGGACGTAAGTCACAACCGGCTGCGACACATCGCCCCGGCCTCCCTCATGCACCTGCATCAGCTGCGGCGCCTTCACCTGCAGAAGAACCAGCTGACAACGCTGGACGCCCGGGACCTGGCCGCCCTCAAGCCGCACACGCACGCTACCCTCCAACACAACCCCTGGGAGTGCTCCTGTGCTCTTCTCGCAGACCTCGCCACCCTCCAGGCCTGCCCCACCTGTCAGCAACAGGTACACTTTCTATACCCAGGCACACTCCCTGTACCCAAGTACACATTACAAAATAATAATAATAATGAGGAAATCAGTAGAGGCCATGAGGAGGATTCGAACCTGCTCACGTGGTACTCCCAAGCACAAGCCCCTACATGGTCAAAAGCCATGCAACCCGGGATTGAACTGAATCCTCAAGGGGTGGTGAGGCTTCGCACATTGCCTACCTCCAACGCTTATCTTCAAATGCACAAAGAAATCACATTTACATGATGTATAAATGAAAAAATCAGTAGGCGCCATGAGGAGTTTTCAGGAACGCCTACTGAGTTTCTCGTTGATACATTATGTTAATGATTCTTTGTGGGGGTGGGGGGGGGGAAGAAATAGCCTAAGCTACTCTATCCCTTTGAGATGTATTTGTTTCTTATCTCAATAAACATACTTGAACTTGAAATGATTCTTTGTGCATTTGAAGAGAAGTGTAGGAGACTCCTAGACTACAAGCCAGAGAGCATGGGTGGGGGGGGAGCAATGTGTGAAACCCTGATTAGGCTTCAGTGTATGCCTCAGGAACCCTAGAGAAGTCGGTGAAATCCCAGGTTGTAATGTTTTCCATGTTGTGGTGTAGTGGTGTACAGCATTTACCCGGTGACCGCAAGGGAGTATACCCAGATCATAAGTTCGAATTCTCCATGTGGTTCCTATTGATTTTCTCATCATCATTATCATAATCATCATCATTCTTTAGTGTGACATGGTCTTCAATATGGCTTAAATCTTGATATGTTGCCCTTCACTGTGAAAAACATCTTTGTTGTCCCTTAGATCTTTATTAAGTACCCATTAATGTGGCTTGGATTTGCGATGCTTTTCATTGCATTTGTTGCCATAACTGTGGCCTGGGTCTTTGCTGCCCTTGATGGTGATATACTTTACTATACAGCATATTAATTTATACTGCATGTACCTTATAGATTACCATGTCCTGCAGACAGTAGCACTGGAGTGCCGGGAGTGGGGGTCCTGGATACCAGCCTCAACCGTCATCCACTCGTGTCTCCAGGCAGTACAGGAGGTCACCCAGGTACAAGGAATTAACGTCGACGACGATTCTGACGAGGATTTGTCTGAGGAGTCCAAGACACTATCAGGAGGCGGTGACGGCAGTTCAAAGGCGGTAATATTGGTACCAGGGCTGGTAGTGCTCCTGCTAGCAGCCATCACAGCCGTTCTGGGTTACCAACTTTATCATCGTCATCGTCGCGCCATCACCTCCAGGTTATCCCCATTCTGCGGTTTCTGTGGGTATTGTGCCCCTGCCACGGTCAACAACAACAACCACAATAACCACCAAAGGGATCGCCTCTCACAAATAGCCAATGATTCAGATACAGAGACTGAGTTGTGATGCAAATTAGCAGGCTGAATTGTGATTTAGATATGCAGGCAGAGTTATGAAGGAGATACGGGGACTGAGTCGTGATTCAGATATTGTATTGACTTGAGTCATAATTAAGCTGTGATTTAGATACAGAGACAGACTGTGATTTAGCCAAAGAATCATAAGAATCAAATAATCATTGATGAAACTTATTATTGGTATGGTGGCAAACTTTTTAAAAGTACAGTATTAAGAAAAGGAAATACCGGTATGTAAAAGTTATGTCTGTAGAGAGCTTTTCCTAGCTTTGTTTATCATGTCACTAATTAAAGATTTATGTGTGGGTAACCTCACAATGCTGAGAATTTTGTTCTAGTGACAGACATGTGAAAATTAGTTTCATGAAAAAAATAAACGTTTCACACAAAAATAATTGAAAACTAAAAACTTAATTGAAAACTAAAAACTTTACGTTAAGATACATGTGACAAATTTAAGTAAAAGAGTTACTTTTATACCGGAATGTGACATTGATTAGTGAAGGTTTTACTGCTGTAGATAAAATCTTGTGTAAAAAATGTCATATAATTATTAACATCGTGTGTAGATGTTAGCTTCAGCCCTTATTTACTTTATGTAATCGAAAACTAACCTTTATTGTGTTATCACATGTAAATAAATATTATGTGGAAGCGTCCTAATAAAATATAGAGTGCTGCTCTGAGAGCATTTAAGTGTAGTTGCCCAGTGTTATTTGAAATGATATTGAAACAGTAGAAATATATCTGCTGTTTGTTTTGATAAACGATTGAGATTACTTGAACATTCAGCTTTAATAATTTTTCTACCTTTTGTAAATTTAATGTAAATTATGCCATATTTACTGGAGATACTATCAGGTGTAATTTTAATGAAAATTACATTTTTAGTTGCTATTTGCTTGAAGCACCTACAGGTGAATTACCTAGTAAGCAAGATGGAATGTTTTTCGACCTTTATTTTCGTCATGTTTTAAGCTACAGGTGTCAAGAAGAATGTTGAGCATAATTTTGTAGATTCTCTTGTGAGCATTTGCAATTTATCTTTCTGGGAAAGATTGTGTATTCCAAGTACTGGAGACTTGCTTCAAGAAAATTTAACTTAGTGAAGAGTCTACATAAAGTGGCTTCCAAATAACATATCTCATGTTTTTGAGGCAGTGTTTTAAGTTGACCCAAGTTGCATTTCTTTGTAATGGTAATTTTAGGTGAGAGAGTTTTGAGAACACATCTCAGTGACATTGATAAGGTACATTTATAAGGGATGATGCCCAGCAGAAGACAATGCACAATGAGGTGATCAGACATAAATATTGACTGTTTAGAGGAATGCCTGCCTAAGTCTTGTTGACATGTAGCAAGGTTATGAAGACGTGTATAAGTAATATAGTATATATATTTTTGTTTCCGGTGTGGTCCACCCATAATGCACTATCCATTTTTTTGTACTAATTTTGGATGAATGTTGTGGCAAATAATAAAAATTATATTAGTTATTACATATTTTTAATTTCTAGTGTTCTTTAAAATAGTATGAAATAACCAACCCGTTCTCGCAAATTTAATAAGTCAATATTGACTTATTAGTTGCGTGCATAGGTGACATACTAAACATAATAGTTTCCCTTGAAAAGCTTCATAGAAAACACCGACCTTGCCTAACCTACTTAGTATGTTAAAATAAGCATCTTATAGCTTCGTAATTACAATTGTTACTTAACCTATTATAGGTATAGGTTAGGTAATAATTGTAATTACGAAGCAATAAGATGCTTATCTTAACATACTAAGTAGGTTAGGTAAGGTCGGTGTTTTCTATGAATCTTTTCAAGGGAAACTATTATGTTAAGTATGTCACCTATGCACATATTTAATAAGTCAATATTGACTTTTTAAATTTGCGAGAACGGGTTGCAACGAAATAACCAATGAAGAAAACCACATTAGGCCTTTCCTACTTTGGGATACCAGAACACACTTCTGACTCATCTTAGTGAACCTCATTAAAACCCATAACACCCTCATTTACAAATCTTGAAGAAAAGTCAGGAAAAGTCAACCAAACCCTTGGAACAATCAAGCGCACCTTTGACTTTTAGGAAAAGAAAGAAGTGGTTCAACTGCATAAATCTGACTCTTCGTGCAAACTGCAGGTACCATCAAGAATAAGTATATATCTCTGGTGCGCCCCATTTTAATAATTCACTGTGTCGGGGACAGGAAGCTGTCCTAGATCTTGACCCCCCCCCCCCCATCCGTCTAGAGAGGCACTTTTTTTTATTAACAAGCTTAGGTATACACAACAATGCTGCTACCCTATTCAATATGGAAGAGTACAAAGTATAGATAAAAATACTAGCAATAAGTTCATCTAGTATCCCCATCTCACAGGATGGTTAGTCATACATGGAATCAGGAGAGACCATGAAATGCGAGGCTGATGTATTATCCTGCTCTAGCAAACTTTGGGTACAGCACAAGAATATATTACAATATTCGTGAGTGTATGAAGTAGTTACAGAGCTCAGAGCACCTCATACCATTTGGTCTGAAATCATTGAATACAGACCAATCACAGATATAGTGTTGGAATGTCTCAGCTCTTGTTCACATAGTTTACAATTGGAATGTTCACCATTGGGGGGATTCATTACCTGCAGCCACCTGCCATAGATATCGATATCCCAGCCTAATTCTGGCAACTACAATGTCACACTGAACATGCGAATATATAATTCTCGGTTCTAAAACATATATATCACAGCTCTTTATACTCGGGCTTTCTGGCCTATGAGTGTGAGAGACTGCGGCTTTACAATAGAGATTGAATGCCCATAACAAGCTCAATTTCAGTCTTATCACATGAAAAAAACGCTTTACATATTAGTGTAAATTTATTTATTTATTTATTTATCTACAAGAAGGTACATTGGGTTTGTGAGAATACACAGCATAATATTTACAATCTTGTAAAATCTAACAGAAAATTTTTATGTAGGTAAATTCTAGCAGAATTAATAAAATGATAATAAATACATTGCAAGAAAAAAAATGAGATGAGAGAGATTAGTAAATATATTAAAGAACATTGGTATATTATATTAATATATTACACTTTACTAAGCGTAATGTATTTACGCTTAGTAAAGTATTAAATAAATATACGCTTTATAATACATTTACATATTATTAAATATTAGTAAATGTATTAAATTAGTAAATGTATTAAATAAATACACGTTTTATAATACATTTACATATTATTAAATATGCAACCCATGTATCTTCATATATATATACCTATGTTTTATGTTGTTATGTGTGTATATTTTACTAATAAAATAATAATAAATTTGCCCGAAACGCTATGCGTAGTAGTGGCTTTAGGTATTGTATATACCAACTCTATCTATAAATCCAACAGTATGTTTGTAACACTGCATCTATGTATATAATTTTCCAGAATAAATTATTATTATTATTATTATAATATTAGTAAGGTAAGGTGTGAGTGTGTATATATAGAGTTTGGTTAGTGCACGCGGCGGCCTCCAGGCGGCAGCACCTGGATGTCAACAGTGTTCAAACTGGTGTCTGGTGGTCTCTCACTATTACTGTGTGTTCTGGCCTCAATATTGCTCTACACCTCTTGCTCTAACGCTCTACAGATGCTCACCAGGCTGCTCTAACACCTCACTAATGTGTTAGCAGGAAATGAATCGTAATATTGGACCACAGCAGGTAACTTTCACATTATCTTGGATTATTTTTTGTACGGAATTGGTAAACACGGGAAGGCCATCCTCCTCTTCTCTAAGCAGCTGAACTTGTATTTATGGGTCCTTACTGTGACCTATAATTGTAACGAGCTTGTAAAAGGACTTAAATTGGCTTTGGCTAGTAGTATCCAGAGGTCTCCCCCCCCCCCAACCTAGGACCGTACATGTACAGTCCTGATAAGGCTGTACAGTATGTGTTTACTGGGGAGTGATGTTTAGCACTATTCCTCATCTATAAGCCTTTTGCGTCATAATTGAGCTATCCAAACATTCAAATTTTTTGTTGAATATGGTATTAAAATTTGTGGATGGAGGTGCCAGGCTTGACTTAAGAGCTTGGTCCACCAGGCTGTTGCTTGGAGCGGCCCGCAGGCCCACACACCTACCACAGCCCGGTTGGTCCGGCACTTATTGAAGAAAACAATCTAATTTTCTCTTGAAGATGTCTACAGTTGTTCCAGGAGGGTTAGTAGTTCGACCCTGGGGGGCACCCTTCAGTATAAGCCTACCATGTACAGTATATATACACTAGCTGCCTGTCCCCTGACACAATGAATTATCATTAGCACAAGAAATATGAAATACAGGTACTGTATTTCATGGTGCAGATTTTAGGCTGGTGCTATATGTTCTAATATTAGTTTAAGAAAGATGGTGTGATTGCCGTGAAAGAGCTCGGGTTTAGGTTTCTAAATGACTGATGTTTGCCAGCACGCCTAAAATGCTTCACTCTGAATCCTTAGCATAGCTCGCATGTTCTTTGCCTGTAGCTGTTCTCTAGCAGGTGACGGTATACCTAAGGTCTCCTAGAAAAGATGAGATAATGGGCAAACTTCGAGGCCGTGTAAATGACCATCTCGACTAGATGGATGACAACTGTGACTTAAATATGAAGATATTCCCTTAATTCTTAAAGTATAGCAATCATAAAAATTGTCCACAAACTGTGAGCAGAAAGTAAAAATAATTACACACAGAAATCACAATAGCGTGATGCATCAAATGAGCAAATCAACAAGGGCCATGACGAGGGTTTGAACCTACGTCCGAGAGGATCCCAGACGCTGCCTTCATTTGATGCATTACGCTATTGTGATCTGTGTGTAATGAAGTAAGGGCGAAGAGGTAGAACGGCTTATTGACAGAGCTCAGGTGCATGGGGGGATTGTGTAAAATCCTGGTTTGTGTCTCGGAGAGACTGCAGGATCCATGTAAGGTCAGTAGAACTTCCGGATGCAATTCTTTTTAACAATGTTGTAGCTCAGTCGATTAAGGCAGCGTCTGGGATCCTCTCGGACGTAGGTTCAAACCCTTGTCATGACCCTTGTGGATTTGTTCTTGTAAATATAATTATTTTACTTGTTTTTCTTATGAAATTATAGATCTGTCTTCAAAAGTATGGAAAATACTGGTACATTACAGTACTGTATATAAAATAAATCATACACTGTTTTGGCCTCTGCTCCCTGGTAGGCTTACAGTGACCTGCAAGTGCTTGGTTTGAATCTAATTGGGTGGAGTATACCAGGTAGCCAGCACCAAAGAGCCACCAAGGATCTATCAAGAGGCATTTCATGACAGTATATGCAACACTTGTTTTTGTATATATAAGCATCATCATCTTGCAGTTATTACTCAAATTTTTTTTTTTTTTATTAAATAATTTTGTATTACAGAGATTATGAGAGTGGATTCTTCACCCGATGACAAGATGTCCGGTGCAGCTAGTGGCCGCAGGTTTGTGATTTGGCTGCTGTAGTTGTGACATTTATATTCCACATTTTATGAATTTCGTGTCGTCTCTGAACTCGTGTACATCTCTCTTTACATGCTCATCAGCCACATCCAAATATATTCCACATCAGTCACAGTCTTCCTAACGACATTCAAATACAGTACATGCTTATTCCATCTACTTTAGATTTCATGTTTACGTAAGTCTGTTTTATCGTATTTGCCTTGTTAATTGATGAACTTTCATAACTTTTTCAGGCCAAACAAAATTTTGGTATTTATTGTACATACTAAAATCACAATTGACAGTAGAATTTTAAACACAAAGTTACAGTGTAGGAGAAAATAGGCAGTGATATGAAACTTGGATACTGTGTACTTGAGTAAGGATAATCCCAACTGCTGATAAACAGCCTTTCACAGAAGGAACAAACTTATATTGATTTGAGTCATATATGGCACTTTATTTTTAGCAAAATATGGCACCATATTTTTTAACATCCTTGAGAAAGCTCTCAAATAAATAAGTATTGTTGCAATGACAAATCTACACATGCTGTGCATGCTGATGCTTTAATTACTATGATTTGCAAATCATACTCCAAGAAGTTTTGCAACAGAGCCAATAAGAATAACCAATTGGGACAGAACCTAAAGTACAGTGGAACCTCAGTTCAGTGAATCTCCGGTTGGAACGCACACTTTCCAGGCCGGATTTAATCGCCTGATTCAACAAACAAGTTTGCTGAAGCGGAATGTGCAGATTTGCTTAAGATGTTTTAGATTTGCAGATTTGTTTAAGATGTGCAGAACAAATTTATTGGGTTTAGTTATAACAATTTTTTTTATTTATTATTAACAAATTCAAATATGTTCAATTTATTTTGGTTGAGATATGTTATGATAACCAAACCCCACACCAAAAGATGTTGAGGGGAGGGGAAGGGAAGGGAATTATCAGGGAGGAAAGTGCCAAGCCATTACGACTATATAGCACTTGGAAGTGGGGGTCAGGATAAGGATTTGGGTTGAGATGAGGGGGGGGAGGAATGGTGTTCAAACACTTGGACAGTCGGGGATTGAACATCGACCTGCATGAAGCGAGACCGTTGATCTACCGCAGAGCCAAAGTGGTTGGGCAGACAACGATGTTTTGATCTGTCCTGGACCATTATCAAGATACAGTATATGGTATTTGCTTGGGATATTTATACTTTTCCAGTTCTGTAGTCTGCCATATATTCAATTTTGTATAAATCAATGGCAGCATATTGTAGATAACATCTTACCTACATAACATCAATATTTCAGGTTACGGTCACGGGCAGCACAGATCACCAATGGTGAGGACAATAGTGATGAAGCAGAGGATAACGGTAGACGAAGGAAGTATAGTGGGTTTAAAAGGAAGGCAGCTATAAATGTGGAGAGTTTATATCTGCAGGAAAATTGTAAGAATGCTACTTCAACCCCTTTGGAAACTATCTATGAGTTGCCTCGATTCATCGAAAATGGGAAGTCAACTGTTAGAGAGGATACACAAGAATGTGATCAGAGTAAGGAAGATATTGATGTTGCTGACCTATCTATGTCCGTGATGGCTGCGAGAAAAATTAGGCGATTTTGTCTCTTTCCCAGTCATTACTTCCCACCTAAGCAAAAAACTCGTTTCCGTAAGGAACGGGCACGCAAGATGAAGCAGTTGAGAGGAGTGAAAATTCCAAAGGGCACTGCAATTTCTGCTGAGGAACTTGAAGCTGTCCTTGCTTGCTTGTTTGAGGATGAAGGTCAAAATGCAAAACCTATAGATATTACGAAGAGATTTTCAAACATAACAGAGAACATTGGGTTTTATGAAGGAAATATTATAAAACCAGACATTAATAATGAAGGTGTTGATGATATTATTAAAAACATGGATGCTCTTAGGGTGAACAAGTCAAAGCTACAGAAAGAGGTTCCATCAGAGTCAGAGGATACAATTAAAACCCATCTGATTTTTGATGACTTTCTCTCCTCAACAATTACTGATGAACCTAAACAGCCATGTTCCCCTAACTGCCATGAAAAAAAGGTCCGGAGACGATCTGGAAGGCTGTTGGCATGTCCTTTGCAATCTGTGGACAAGACCTTAGACGTACCTATTAAGGGAATGCAAAGAATTGCCGAGTTATCCCCTTTGAATCTGCAGAATTCATTCATGACTGATTCTTCTGGCACAACCTGTTTGGCTGCAGATGTAAAGCCACAGAATGTACCCAGCCACGAACTAGGTAAATCGCCTCTTGATATAGGAGTTTCAAGTGATATAAAACTTGTACAAGTGGACACACAATTCCACAATGAAATAACAATAAAAAAGGAGACTAAAAATAATTTATTCGTGCCTGAAGAACTGTGGAGAACATCTGTTAGTACAGAAAATCTCTCTAGTGATATAAAACTTGAGCAACTGGACACAAAATTCCACAAGGCAATAAAAGTCAAACAGAAAAAGGAGAGTACAAAGAACTTATCCAGGCCTGAAGAACTGTTTAAATCCTCTGTTAGTGTGGAAAAAGCCTTTAATGTTAACACACTCGATGTGGACACAAAATTGCGCAAAACAATAAAAGTTGAACAAAAAAAAGTAAGTATAAAAGATAAAGAGAGAGATAATATATTATACAGTGAACCCTCGACAGAACAGAGGGCTGCAGCAAAAGAAAAAACAAAGCAAAGGAAACCTCAAAGTGAACAAGGAAAAGAAACAAAAGTAAAGAGATTGGAAATGGGCATAAAAAGATCTAGTAAATCTTATGTTGACAATCAAATGAAAAAACGAAGAGACTGTAAAAATGACACTATAGAATTGTTCGCAGAAAATGTCAGTGAATTGAAATCTAGCTTGATTAATATTGTTTTGAACTCTCCCTCTCCTAATAATCTCCTTGATACAGGTCTGCTGAACTTGAGTGAGTCAGCAGCTTTGAAACCTCAGAAAGGTTGCAGAGGTAAAGGGAAAAGTAGAAGCCGAGGAAGGCGAAGAGTATCTGGAATTCAGAAACCTTTATACAGTACCATTCTTCAGCCAGCAAGCCCAAGTGATAGCTCAAATAAATCCTTGGACCAGCTCGATGGTGCTGTGGAAAGTGATCCCTGCTTAAGGCTGAATATTCTCACCAGCACCTCTCCTACTGTGCCTCTGTCAGGTAGTATGGTTGGGTGTTGCTCTCCTGTTTCCCCTTCAGCAGGAATGGCTGCACTTACGCTTAACACAGATAAGCCTTCAACATCGTCCACTGCAAAAATTTGTCAATCGCCCATTTCTCGTTTAAATAGAAAAATTAATACAAAGGCTCGTAGACGGTCATCGAGATTAAGCATGGATTTTGCAGCTAGTGAAGGAATACCAAACAATTCTGCATCAGGTTTTGGTTCGTATTGGTCATCTTGTTCACCATCTATTACACCAGTTCCTAATATTTATATGAACACTTTGCCAAAAGTTGATGAAAAGGGTAATATTGCTTCTCGGCCATCAAATATATTGAATTGCAAATCACCTCATGTGGAGAAAGAGAGCACAGCCACTTTTATAGATGATAAAAGAGGTACACATAAAATGGAAATTAAGAGTAGAAGACGCTCAAGAATGTTACACAAAGTGGACTTGGAAATGGTTGAGAAAACTAAAGCCAGTGCTAAGGTGGACAGTTCAAGTTGTGAAATCGATCATATTGCTGCCAGTACATCTTCAGTGGAAGAGTTTGTACAGGACAACTCGGTAAATATTGTCTCGCTGAGGGCACAGGGTCCACAAGTTGGCAACAATAACAGTGTAGTAGAACATAATGAGCAGCTGTTGGTTGTATCGTCACAAAGTACTAGAGTAGTCAGTCCTCATCTTGAGAGTTTGTCTTGTGCAGCTACACAAAGAATTACGGTTGCATCAGTACATGATAACTTGCAGAGATCCGAAACGCTCGCATCATGTGTTCTTCCGAGTTGTGTAGATGTACGAGACTTACCTGGAGGTGATAATGTGCAAGCAGGCAACCCAAGGCATAGTAGTGTAATAAATCCTCAAGGGAAAAATAGCAACTTTGTTCCAGCAACACATTCAGATTCTCTGATTATTTCTATTCCCAATCAGAGTCCTGGAACACAAGAATATCTGGCCACCCCATGTAGCTCTCAGGCAAATTCAGATGAAAAGCAATGTCTTGATTCTTCTGTGTCAAACATTAAGAGTATCTCCAGTAGATGGTTTTTGTCGGCAAACAGTACTGATGCAGCTTGGAATTCACCCATTATTACTGGGATGTTTGAAAACAAGACTGGCATTCGACAGGGAAAGGTATTTTGTAACAAAGATGCTCAAAACAGCAGCCCAATCACACACTTTTAGCTGTGTTGGTCTGACTCCAAGAAGTTGCTTCCTCAAACTCTTGACACAATTAAACTGAAACTTTTGGTTACTTCATTTTAAATACTTTTAGGAAAGTTAACCATTTGCAATTTGTGTGTTGAGTTTGAAACATTACTTATTGCAGAAAACGTTATTTAAAATGGAAAATACATTCTTATTGTAAATTGTTTAAAGAGAAAAAACATGTTGTAAATTTGTATAATGTGTAATACATTTTATGTTTACCTTTACTGTGTATTTCATTTAAATCCAAACCAGTGGTGACAGATTATTCATAATGAACATGTCACTACTTTCCCGGTGATCACATCACTCTTTTTAAAGTGATCATATCGTCACCACTTTTCCTGGTGACCATGTCGTCACCACTTTCTCTGGTGACCATATCATCACTGCATTCCGAGTGGCCACGTCATTATGGCATTATGTGTAGCCAAAGCATTCCGAGTGGCCACGGCATTCCGCGTGATTACGTCATTGGGGCTTCAAAATTGCTACAAGATGATTTAGACATTTAAATTAAGAACAAATTTATTAATGTAGGGTCTTAAGTCTAAAAGATATCAGCTGGACAGTGCTGAAATTGCCAGTGTATGATTTAAGACAATAAGTGTTAATAATCAGACATTTAATGTTATTCTCCTGCTATCTTTCCCTTGTTAGGCCTCTTTAGATTATACATTTCGGTTTTGGATGCTGTACTATAGAATGGGCATATTTTCTTTAAAAAATATTGAGAAATAGAAAGCTAGCCTCTCATGAAATGAGATTAGAGAATGTAATGCAAGTTTTCTTGGAGAAGGTAAGGGGTGATGTGATTGAGGTATTTTGCCTGAATTTACCCAAGGGACACCATCTCTAGTGGTTTCGATAGGGACAAGAAGATGGTGGCCTGTCAGAGATCCCCAATTGCTTCTAAGGATGATATGGATGAAAAGTTATAAAATTAAGATCCTAAAAGTATAACACAAAATAGAACATGCTTGGATTTCATTACCACACCAGCCAGAACTGTTTATTGGTTTGTTATGGTGCATGAAAATGTAGATAGATATGTGTATATATAATGTAATAACAGCAAAACCTGAATACACAGAGAAATCACATAATCGTGACATATCGATGAGAAAGTCTGCAGGAACCTTGATGATGATTCGAAACTATGTGTACTGAAAAGAAAGGCATTTTCATGATTCTGCCGTGGCAGATCTGGTGTTGGTTGGGAACAAACAGGATTCGCACTTTTCAGTTGTCAACTCCGGTTCTCATCTTCCTCCTCTTTTCCTTATTCGTACACCCCCTTCTTGAATCTTGTCCGTTGATTTTTCGCATTCACCTTCAGCTCCCATATAATGATCTCTTCTTACGTAACTCCAGTTTGTCTTATTCCTCTTCGATTTTATGGTGGCAGGCTCAAACGGTATTCATTATGAGATGCTGCATCATCTCCCTCAGGGTGTACTTCAACATTTATTGAATATTAATAATTGTATTTGAGAGATGTCGTTAGTCCTTGCAAAGTGGCTCGGGTTGTTGTTCTTCCTTTTCGGAAACCCGGTACTCGAGAGACTCCTATTTTCTAATTCTCAAAAGATCCCCCAAGAGAGTCGTGACCCACCAGTTAGGAACCACTGCTCAAGGGACTCACTTGGCTTATCAGGAGGTGCCCGGTTTACAACAAGGTTTGTCTGTACAGTATATGTAGTTGCGCCTTAATGTCAATATGGTTGCCTCAGGTTCGGCCCCTTTGTCTTTTCAGGATCCAATCTTGGAGCAAGTCATGTTTTCTACTTGTTCAAAGTTTTCTCCTCCATTTCCTTCCGAGGTTTGGCTTATGTTTGGTGGGCCAAGGGGCCTCCTTTGCTTCCAGTCCCGAAACATCTGAGAGTTTCGAGTCTTATGATGATATTTCAGATGTGTGTGTGTGGACCATCTCTCGTTACTGCCCCTTCCACTTTGATGATGGAGGTAGCTGAGCAACTGCTTCCCACTGAGAATCTGCTGCCTTTAGTTTCTCAGGGTTTTATGACTGCGGGTCCTTCCCTTAATGTACTTGTCATGTACCTCCCATGTGTTCTGGCCTCATGTGGTAGTGTTTCTGTGTACAGATTTGGAATCTGTTCTAGTATTTTCCAAGTGTAAATTATTATGTATCTTTCCTGCCTGTGCCCTAAGGAATACAGATTTAAAATTGTTGCAGTCCCAATAATTTAGATGTTTTATTTAGTGAATTCTATCAGCTACAAGCAGGCAGCATTTCAGGCTTGCCTGCTTGCACCATCCTTGCCCCAGGATGTGGGTGTTTGTCAGCTGCACATACAGTTGCTTTCATTTTCTTGGCTTGATAATGCGGAGGATCTTAGGGATTGTATGCACTTGTTTTTGAGTGTTGAGCTGTCATGGAGCTTTTCTCTGGTCAGCTCCTTGGCTGCATGAATGTTTTAGCTGGTGTGCCTGCATCCTTGTTTATGTCTCAAATTTGGCTTGGTCATTGTTCCTTTTGTCCTCTCCCCTTTTGGGGCAGGTCCTTGCCTGTCATTGATCAGGGATTCTGGAGGAGTCATTCTCTGACTTGCTTCAGCTTTTGCTCCTAGTTGACATCACCCATTTTGGAAGGGTGCATCTCTAAGAGTTCTTTGTGCTACCTGAGCCTGACAGCCGAGTGGATGGCGCTTTGGATTTGTAGTCCTGAGGTTCCGGATTCGATCTCTGACGCCCTGACAAATGGGCAGAGTTTCTTTCACCCTGATGCCCCTGTTACCTAGCAGTAAATAGGTACCTGGGAGTTACAGCTGCTACGAGCTGCTTCCTGGGGATGTGTAACAAAAAGGAGGCCTGGTTGAGGACCGGGCCGCAGGGATGCTAAGCCCCGAAATCATCTCGAGAAGATATTCGTTTGATGCCACTGTGGGGGAGGACATCTGGCCTGTTTTGCCAACTCCATCTCATGGCCTACAGTGGATGTGGTCCTCGCCTACACTTTTTGGTGTTGGATCCAAGGCCAACAGTACAGTTTTTCTTGGTCATCTGAGTTTTGAGAGTTATTGTCACAGTAAGTAGTATGTCCAGAATAATTGTTTATAGTTAAAGGGACAATTATAGCCAGGGGTCTGAATATTTACTTTTAATAACTGCCTCAAGCACACATTTTTATATGTACAAAGTGATGTAATTAAGATATTTACAGCTGCCAAAGAATATATTGTACAATGAATACTGTACATAGCACTGGAAAATAATATATGTTGATAGTTGAAGAAATAATGCAATGTGACTTAAATAATTTAGACGATCATTATAGTAATTACGTAAAAAGTAATTTTAAGATTTTATTAGAACAATAGTTCGATGTTCATAACAAGAATCGCTCTTTCATGAAATTTCATAATAAGAGAAACTCTTGGCCAAACTAGTGCTGGCCAGTAAATGTTTACTTTTTTATTGTTTTCCTTTAGTATTAAATATTAGCGATAAAATATAGTTTTGCTTTGATAAATTATTTTACCTATTGTTACCTGAGGGTTTTCATTTTTTTTATTGCTACATTTGAGTGAAAAAGAAGTGAGAGAGTTATATTATTCAGACTAGAAGGGGAAGACGAGGTAGCATAACTTGGATAAAATGATTTATTTGACGTACTAAAGTGATCATGGCTAAGGATTGTGAGGTTGGCACTAGTACTGTTCTCGGAGAAAAACAAATAAATAATTTTAAAGAGATCACTGGCAGGAATGAGAGTTCTCATGGCAAAGAAAACTAAAGAAAAATTATCAGTTTATCAAATTTTGATGTTAGACCAAGCACTCTACAGGGATGTAGAGTGAATGAGTGAACCAATCCTAGAATGAGTAGATTTTTTAGTTGCACGTAAAGTGCAGGTAATAGTGCTGGCTAAATTGTTTAGTTACCTGCAGTGTCTTATAAATTTGTAAACACTACTGGTTTTAGGTAAATTTTTTTTTTTTTAATTTTTAAATTTAAGTAAATTCTTATAACAGAAAATATAATAGTAATGCACTATTAAAGTACAGTATATTTGAAGTCAAACCAAAACTTACAAGACCTAGACTAGACACAATGAAATAGTAGTTTCTTTATTGTACTGTAAAAAGTTCCCATTTTTACCAAAGGTTTAAATAAATAAGATTAAATTTAATTGATTTTTGGCAATAATTTTCACTGATATAGATATACAGTATGTATAAAGATATTTTATGTAGTGCTAGATGGGCTACCCGGGTCTCTCCCCCTCTCGTCTGTTTCCCTACTTCCACATTCCAACTTTATCCCCCAAGATCCTCTTAAACTGAGAGAGTCAGTTTAACAAATCTGAGAATAGGTGAGACTTGCTTCATAAATGGCTTTACCTAGAGTATTACATCACAGCAACAGCACTACACAATACACTCCAGTACAAATTAAGCCTATATTTTGTAGGTGTAGTTCAATTTAACCTCATATACATATTAACCTTTTAATAACAATGTGGAAGACAAACTTTTAATTTAGTTTTAAACATTAAACAAGCTAAAAATTTTTTTTTTTTTTTTTTAACTAGTTGATTTATCAAGTTATATTTTGAACATCCATCTTTAGTAAGTGAAAACCTAAAAGGAAAATATATTCATCATGGAGCCAATACAAGTACATATTGCCGTAGTTGGATGTTAAGCATTTAAGAGAAAAATACGGAGTAAGCCCTTGTGGCATTATTGAAATACACATTGGAAGCATAGTTTAAATAATTAAAGGGCTTTAATTATACCAAATTGACAAGTAATGTTATAATTACACCAAATAACTAAAATATAAGGTTAGTGCAGGACTACTTGGTCAACAAATGACCCTTCAAAAAACATTTACATTTTATTCTTTATGGTGCTCAATGCTCATTTGGAGGGATTTCAGAAGTGAGGAAGATTATTCTAGGACGATGAAACAGTATTAATAACCCATGACTGTCCAATAGTACCAAAAACTACAGTTGTGTACTGAACCGTGCGTTAGTGCCCTGGGATGTTTAACCCCCCCACACACACAAAAATATTGACCCATAGGAAAATTCCTCTTCAGTAGTATTTATTAGACCTTTTTTTTTTCATTTAGAGCCAAGGTGAGCCAACACCCCAGTATACTAATATAGTATTATCCCTATACCAAAATTTACTTGGTCATAAACTGTGAACAATGCTTTTTAAAAAAAACAATGATCCCTGTTATATTAGGCCTTTTCCTGGATTGCAACTGGATGTCATAAATACACTTTATTAACCACTTACACAATAGTAACAAGAGACCAGGGGAGCAGCACATAAATCCTGTCGTGTCTAAAAATTTTACTTTAAAGTATATTTAGAATATCTCTTGATTAGAATGGAATACTTTCCAAATAAGTCGTACTACTTCTTGTAAGATTGTGTGCGTAACTCTACTGCTAGGTGAATATAGGCATCAGGTGAAAATAAATATGCTCAACTGTATGTCTCGGTGAAAATGTAACCCAGAACCCCCAGTTGTGAGCTGTTGCTGTAGAGTGTAGACTCCTGACAACTTAAGTAGAGCCAAAATGTTTAATTACTGTGAATGAAAAATTGAGTTTAAGTACATTTTGCTTACTGTAAATTATTGGGATCTTAAATTTACAATAAAAGTTCCCAGGCAGCACACAGGCTCGGTACTTAATATGTATACAAATTGATTTCACATTATTGTACTGTATATGAAATATCATATGGAAAGTGGTTAACATCTATCAGTTTGGCACACTTTGTAATGTAACAGAACAACAGTCCTGATCACTGGAAGGTAGAGAGTAACCTCATTATTGGAAGGTAGAGAGTAATCACCCCATTATTAGAAGGTAGAGAGTAATCACCCCATTATTGGAAGGTAGAGAGTAATAACCCCATTATTGGAAGGTAGAGAGTAATAACCCCATTATTGGAAGGTAGAGAGTAATAACCCCATTATTGGAAGGTAGAGAGTAATAATCCCATTATTGGAAGGTAGAGAGTAATAACCCCATTATTGGAAGGTAGAGAGTAATAACCCCATTATTGGAAGGTACATGCTACAAGTTATAACAAAATAATGTATTTTGTGTTATATGTATCTAATCTTTTGTATTAGCTTTTGGGTTTTATCTAGCACGTATTGTACACCTTGACGAGAATAACTTGGAATGTTTCAGTATTTGAGATCAGAAAAAATGACATATCAAATGCCTCGGTCAACAACTCTTTCTCTTCATAAAGTATGAGGAAACCTGCCTTGTGGGCTGGACCTGGAGTTCCCACTAGTAAATACATGGAACATCAATAATATGCTCCAATTAAGATCAAACACCATCCAAATTATCATGGTTTCCGGACTAAAAATGTCTTTGGTGCTTTTTGACTAAATGGTTTGGGGCTTTCAAACTGAGAATAAATTGCAAACCCTAATTATTCATACTAGTCCATGACAGAAGATATTATGTGAAAACTTGGTTAAACAAGGCTAAGTAAAGCTGGAGGAAGTCAGATAAACCTGGAGGAGGCTAGGTTAGGCTGGGCTAGGCTAAGTATAGCTGATGGTGAGCAAGCTTTAGGCATCCATCGTTGCACCAGTACTGCTAAATACTTAACTATTTCCTGGTTGATACTTTTTATATTCTTGCATTAATAAATTTATAAACATATTTAATGTACAGTATTTAAGATGGTCATGTATGTGTTTTGCTCGAGTGATGATAATCATTATAGAGAGGGACCACTAAAAAGAACTCTACTCCAATTAAATCAACTATTGTTTGAATAGGCCTATATTCAATTAAAATGGTTTGGGATAACAAATTACCAATTTGCATAAACCATCATTGTGCATGAATTTACAAGAACCTTGTGCTCAGTCCAGGCACAAAGAATTTGTGCCTGGATACATAGCATTGCATTCTTTTTCCTTTAATTCCATTGCTATCTATGTCTCAGCAGCAGTTATGGTGCAAAGAGGAGAAAAAACAAAAATTCTAGTCTATTGAGCAGTAAATTTATCATGGCTTCTCCAACACCAGACTCTTTGCTGGTATTTCTAATGCAGAGTTATTCTGGTCTGTTTAAAAAGACTTCAGCAGATGCCCAAGATTTATTCTAATAGCAAATTCTTTCCAACCATTAACCTACATGTTGGTTCTTACGTCACATAACATTTACCTGGGGAGCTGCTCTGTATGTCATAGAATTATCTCGTCTCATGTTTATCAACTTCACTTGCTGATACCATACAAATACAAATTTCATTAAACTAGGGGGAATAGTTACTACTGTATGAGTGTACTAATATTTTAGTCATTTTTAATAATGTATATAACAAATAAATGAAGCCAAAAACAAGTGGTGGTACAGTACTGTATTTGTGATGTTCGGCTGAGAGAATCTCTCCGAACTACCTTCATGTTCTAGCATGAGTAAACAACATCCCAGAAGATATTTGAAGGTTAACAATTCCAGTTCATCACAATCTGGACTACTGAGGTTCCACTGAGTATGTACATTGTGTATTTTTTTTTTTTAAATTGGAGAATTCTAATGGTTATTAGGAAAAATACATTTTGTGTGATATTTCTACATTAAACCTCCCCAAAGAGGCCAGGTTCCAATTGTTTGCTAGAGGTTCTTCATGGCTGAGGTACAGTATGAAAAAAAAACTTTGCTCTCTTCTTACTAGTAGAGGGATAAACTAAATTGCGGACAATTATAGCAAATCAAATAATCTAGCATAGTTTATCCTTTACATAAATATTTAGCTACAGTATATGTTTGCTGATACAGCAAAATGTATTATGCATTTATAAATACTGTATTGCAATAATATAGGTAGATTCTTTTAATACACAACTGACTCCTACAAGACACATTTACATAATCTACATACAGTATACTAAAAATTATCATAAAATAGCACCTTTCATGGGAACGATATTTCCCATTTTGAAAATGTAACATAAATACTTCAGATAAAAAATGGAAGATTATATGCAGACGAGGAGTCACAATAACATGGCTGAAATATGTTGACCAACCCACACACTAGAAAGTAAAGGGACGACGATGTTTCGGTCCGTCCTGGACCATTCTCAAGTCGATTGTCTTGACTGGAAGATTATATTTTTATGTTCAATGTGTACTGGAGTTGAAGTGCGAGGCAGTCTGTCGTGATGATGATGATGCTCCCGCAACAACTTGGTCTGCCTCAGGGTCAATGTTCCCTCTGTTGGAGAATAACAAATTCAGTTACAAGTATTAACTCCACACATTCTCTCAGAAATATGAGATCTGAAATACAATCAAATGAACTAGTTCATTCTCAATTTGTGTCCAGGGAAGCACAAAGCTCATCTGGATTCAGTTAGATTTATAAGAGCCCCTTCTGGCACTCTGAAACTATCTGGCCGTGATGCCTTCCCGATTCCTAGGTTGCATTAACTGTAGAGTTCTGTTCAACCCACCGGGAACCAGACACAGAACCTGGCCAGCTCATAGAGGCACAGGTAGCAAGTGACTTGACGCATCACAAGGAAAGGCACGCAGAAAGTCAGAGAACCAAATACAGACCACTGCTTGGTTTAAGAGACTGAGGTCTCTCAACCAGCAAATGAACTCCATTAACATAAACAAGCAATTAAGTCTTTTGAATCAAGCATGTGCTAGTTTCCCAAACCTTCCCACTAGTTTGGGGGGAAAGGGGGGTTGGCTCATGCTATCCACTGACAAGAGCCCTCAGTTCTGTCACTGATGCAGTGTGGGCAACATGTCTGCTATAAGGTTCCTAGGTCATCAGCAAACCATGGCAGGTCCCGGTGCTTTCCACCTAAGTGCATTTCTTGAACTTTATGCTGTGTGGCCTCCAGACACACATGATGCACCCCTGGCCGAACTGACCAAGCATCAACAACCAACAGACCCCTTCTGGAAATAAGCTGAATTCTTCAACAGAAAAGGAGCTGGCTGGAGATGAGCAAATTTACCCCATGGACCAAAGAAACAAAAAGTCCAGTACCGGAGGAGAGCACAAAGCTCAGCAACACTGCAACCAGAAGCCAGAGAGACCAGTAAAAAGCTTTGCTAAAGAAATCGCAGACAGAAGGGGACACGGAAAACTGAGTAGAAGAAAACATGGAGCACCCGGTCTAGAGACCAAGTCGGCTCCAGCTGTGCATAAGCAGGCAGACGGTGAAACAATGCATCAGACGGCTTCCAAAATGGAGCCGAGGAAGTATAAACCCCAAACGCAAGCTGCAGTGGATCTGTCAGCACTGCATGATATGAAGCGACAATATTCTGTAGGAGATGCCAATCAAGCAACAACCACAACAGAAAGGAAAGAACCACCCACTCAAAAACAGATGAACAATGTTTACGAGAGAGGATATAATGGAACGACCACCAAGAAACTACATACTGCCATCTCGAGGAAACCTGCAGGGGGGACACATCAACTTTTTACAGTCACCGGAACACCATAACGTTGGCAATAGAGCCATGTCAGAAACTCTAGACGTGAAGAGCAGAAGAGAAGGTCGAACCAGCGAAATACATCATTGAACCGACCTCCAGAATAAGCCACGAAAAAAGAACCAGTTCAGACACCAATCAAGCACTGGAAACCATGGCTAGGGCAGCCACCAAAGAGCCAGAAGGATCATCTTTTCCTTGGACTAACCACACCAAGACCAACATTTGGACTGGGAAAAAGAAGTACAGAAACCCCCCACCTCAACCTGTCCATCCAAAAGGTGTCCGCCACAAAGGCCTCTCAGTTGGAGAACAGTGCTGTATAATGAGGGAGATGCCAGAACCAAGCCGAAATGATGAGGTCCACATCCAGGTGACCGAACGTCTCGCAGTCAGAGGAATGAGGCAACGTCAACGGTCCACTTCGAGGAGATGGGACGGAACCGAGACATACCGTTGGCAAGGACATTGTATAACATATTTCTAATGTTGGGAAAAAATATATGAAATTTTAATTCATTTAGTTTGGCCATACGATTGTGAGGTGAAGACTTGTCCTAATCTGAAAATTAATTTTCTAGTAAACTATTTGTAATACATCTCTCCTTATTATAAATATCTTCCTGGTCCATAAAAGTTCATCATTAAATGGAAGGTGATGTACCCGACATGGTGCCAATTCTTTAAATAATGCTCATTAAGGTATTAAAGCCTTTCAGGATTTTTTCCCAATATGCCAAACAATTGCCAGAGGTCTCTTAATGTTGAATGACAGCCACATACATTATTTAGGAATTTTGAATATTAAGGTAAGTTAAATCATTTCCAGGTACAGTACTGCAATTGCAGCATACGAGCCGACTGCTCTAAAGTGATTGGAGCAGTGTACGTGTTAACATGAATAGTGATATCCAGCATTAATTTATTTGTAGCTGTCCACCGTACTAATGCAAGTGCACCAAAATTTATACACCAAAATTATCAAACCAAATGTATTTTCTTGTAAATATGTTACACAAAATAAATAAAACCAAAATAAAGGTTTTAGTGTGAAAGAGGATGACTTAAGAGTTACATACCTAGTAGTGAGTGGTGAGAGGCAGAGGGCACACAACCACAAGGGTCACACTCACCTGTGGTAGTGCTCAGACTCCGTGTCAGAAGCCACAGTAACCTCCACCTCAAAGCCTCGCTCCGAACCTGAAAGTTATCATTTAACATAAATCTCGTGCACGGTGAAATCACATCAACATGATGTATCAGTGAGAATATCGGTAGAAGCCATGCTTGAGAGTACCAAGTGTGTGGATTTCAATGCAGTAATCCTCCTGATCCTACTGGATCAGTAGATCAGGAAAATCCTACTGATTTTCTCATAAATCTCATCTGATAAGTTTATATTAAAATGGTTTACTAATATTTCAGTGCATCATTATAATATATATACAACTTGATTTGGTCTTTCATTTGTTTATACTGTATTCAACACTTAATTATTCTGGTTTTAGAGTCATAGAGAGATCTCAAACTGTAAAATAATTTGAAGCAATTGGGTAGCATCATTAGAAGGACATCATAGAGGTTTGTTGTTTTTATTCATAATTAAGTATTGTACAGTTATGCACATACAATACAGTACATTGCTATAAATACTGCATGTACAATGTTGTACTTAAGTACAGTTATATGTTTCATGACAGTGTAAATGGTGGAGAGGACTCATACTGTATATATATTTTTGACAATACAGTACAATATTATGAAGTACAGTAAACACTTTGAAGTACAGTATGCCACAACACGAGATCAGGAACAGCATCCTACGTGAGACCAGGGACAGAATCCTACATCAGAAAAGGGATCATATTTCTCTTATTTTTTCATCTAATATTCTTCTGAGAACAATTGCCAGTTATCCAATGACTACTGTTTAATTTCTCAACACGAATTAAAATAACAAAAATTACATGGAAATATACTGTACAAAAGTAATGTCTTCATATAATATTGTGTAAATTAAGCGACTCATACTTACTAATGGAGTCATTACGCATGTTTAAAGACCAGGGCCTTGTCTGCATCTCTCTTTGTAAGTCCCAGTGACTGTTATCCATCTCTATCCCTCCATCGTCAGCTGCACTGTTTTCATCCCTCGTCAAGTCAAAGATCTCGGTGACTTGAACCTTGAAAATTTTTAAAACATTAGCAACTTTTTTCTTTAGCAGTAAACACAACATACATTAGAACCCAGCATTTAATTACAGTATATGAAAATAGTAAATCTTTATCCACCAACTTTATACAGTACTATAACTGGTAAATAATTAGCAGTTACAGTATTAGACATTAATACTATAATGGACCAGTATTAGACATAGTCTAATACTGGTACTAAATTATACTATTATTTATAATTATATTATAATTAAATTATAAGTATTATAAAATACTAACCTAAATTGGCATATGTAACATATTTATAGCATAAATAATGTTGATTTGCACCAAAATAATGTAAGTAGTCAGTGGAGGACCAGTGAGTAAGTGAGAGGAGAAAAATGCAATTGATACTATCACATCTGATTTGCTCAAGTTGCCAGTTAAATCATTTTATACCTGGCTGAATGCTGCTTCATTTTGCAGCTTGTCTGGCTGGTTTGCCGAGTAGCTGATTGGTTGGTTAAATGACTGGCTGTCTAATTACTGGCCACATGGTGGTGGTGATGTGTTAGATCAGTAGAAACTGTACACAACTTGAAATCTATATATGCTTATTAGATGAGCTTCAGTTCCTGGCCCTGCCTTTCAGTCATCTACTATAATGGTTTCTGACCCCTCTTACTTATGAGACCTACTCTGAAAACTACATACAATATGTAGTAGTTGAGTTGAGCCTAACTCCAGGTATGGAGTCAGGCTCAACTACCTCCACCTTTTAGCCCATTCCACTTGCTCCCTACTCTTACTTGGAAGAAGTACACTCTCTTATGTTACTATTGCTCATCTAAATTTATAGTTCCACCTATGTCCTCTTTTCTTGCCTCTCTTTTTGCTAAGCATTTAGTTTTGTCTAAGTCGCAAATGTTCACTAATACTCCTGTTATGTTATGATCATGTTACCTTTTTTTCTAACTTAGTAAGATCTAGTTCCCTTTGCCTCTCCTCATAGTTCAGTTCCTTAATTCCACCACTGTGTAATGTGACAACTTTGTGGTGCACTTCTTAAATAATTATTAACATTAACTAAACAATTTAAAAATTAGAAAAATGTCAAAATATTGCGAAAATTTAACAATTTTCATTTAAAATCACAAGTTTTTGGCAGTACCCATTGGGCGCCTTAAGGCACTATGCGTAGTGCAGTGGTTCAGGGATCAGTCTTGTATCAAACCTTAAGATTTTTTGTTTTTCCTTGTGTTTTTAAGTGAGGATCCCACACTGGGGCTACATAGTTTAATGCTGGTCTAACATGGGCAGTGCGAATAGTTTAATGCTGGTCTAACATAGGCAGTGCGAATAGTTTAATGCTGGTCTAACATGGGCAGTGCGAATAGTTTAATGCTGGTCTAACATGGGCAGTGTACATAGTTTAATAATGTTTATATAATAAGTTTATAGGTCTTAATAACCCTCCTGCAGATGATAGGCCTTAATCTCTCTCCCTTAAGCCCAACACTAAACCATATACTGTACCTGCTTCCTATAAGTATCTCTGTAAATGAAAAGAACTTTACACTAAATATTCAAATGTAGGGTATTACCAATATCATTAGTGAGTAGTGACTTATCTCACTGTGTGGTTGAGTGTTGGGTACACACACACACCACACTCATTAATGATTAGTGACTTACCTCATTGTTGTCATCCAAATAGTAATATGCCATCAGGGCTTCTTGGTGAGTTGTAACATCCAGAATTTGTTCAAAAGCATCATCACTAATATGTCCCGTAGGAATTTCATCAACTAAATCATAAAGACTGGGGTCGGACACATCATTCAGCGATGGTCTACGAGACACCGCTCTCGAGACAGCTCGGGAAGCAGCACGAGATGCCATGCGAGAACCTGCTCGAGATATGGACCGTGAGGCACAGCGTAGAGCAACCTCAGTCAAGGCTTGTGATTCCAACTGCATGGCATCCTTGTGACTTTGTGGCACTCCCTTCCTGTTTGATCACATCAGAACATTACACAAAGTAAGTACTATGCAGTGCAAAATTAATATCATTGTGGTGACACACACAGAGATCACACTAACGTGATGCATCAAATGAACAAATCCTAGGATGTCTGGGATGCTCCCGGACGCAGGTTCGAATCCTCGTCACGGCCCTTGTGGATTTGTTTATCATTGTGGTGCATTGTGATCAATGAGGTGAAGGTGTGATGGGGCCAGTGAGTGAATGTACTCACCTAGTTGTGCTTGCGGGTGCTAAGCTTTGTCTCTTTGGTCCCACCTCTTAACAGTCAATCAACTGGTGTACAGATTCCCAAGCCTACTGGGCTCTATTATATCTACATTTGAAACTGTGTATGGAGTCTGCATCCACTACATCACTTCCTAGTGCATTCCATTTGTTAACTACTTTGACACTTAAAAAGTTCATTCTAATGTGTCTATGGCTCATTTGGGTTCTAAGTTTCCACCTGTGTCCCCTTGTTCGTTATCCACCCATGCTAAAGAGTTTGTCTTTGTCCACCCTGTCAATTCCCAATAATTTTTGTAGGTGGTTATCATGTCTCGCCTTACTCGTCTGTTTTCCAGGGACGTGAGATTCAGCTCCTTTAGCCTTTCCTCGTAGCTCATACCTCTCAGTTCCAGGACGAGTCTGATGGCATACCGCTGAATCTTCTCTTAACTTTGTCTTGTGTTTAACTAGATATGGACTCCAAAGCTGGAGCTGCATATTCCAGGATATGTAGATTAGTTGAAAGTTGTGTTGGTGTGTGAAAGTAGATGCTCAAAATAAATGTGGACAAAGTAAAGTAATGGTGAAGGAGAGAGAAGGAACTTTGCTCTGTGAAATTAGTATAAATAGAGAAGGAACATGAGCAAAATTAAGTACAGAATGTACTGCACTTATTTGTATAACAACTAATATACTTTAACTTACACATCATCCAGATCAAGAGTGAAGTCAAAGTTGTGACGGTTTTGGAGGTGCTGCATCTCCACCTCGCCTGGAAACCCAAAGTTTAGTAAGATTTCAAGTGTATCAGTAGGTAAGAACAAGTACAACTGTAGAAAGGAGCAGTCACTGCCCGTGTAGTGGCCAGAGTATATCAGTATACACAGCTGCAAGGACCAGTTATATGTTCCCTCAAGGTACTCCACCGCTGTGAGTGGGGCCGCCTTTGTAAAACCTGTTTCAGACATTTCAAATGTCCAATTGTTAAAACACTCGAAGTATTACCCAAAATAAGAATTAGTGAGCACTGCAGTGGGCTTGTTGGCTCATACTAAGCAGGTAAAAGTGATACACTAGCTCATGCAATATATTAATTTGGTGTATTTCATTTTAGCCCCTTTTTGGACACTAGCAACAAAGAGCAGCAAGTTGTTGGCCATTAAAAGGTAGATTCATCTCTACCTCAAAATTCTATATTTAGCTTTTAATTTATTATGTAGCAATCTAAATATACCTTTACTTTAATTACCTCAAGGCCAATATAGATTCATAAAATCAATCACACATTCAGTACAACTAAGTGAAAAATTAGCTTCAGTACTGCAAATTATTTAGCTGCCCCTTTGCAAATCCTGTAAGAACATCTTTATTACCCGAGGACTACATATTGTCAACAAAACAATTTTGAGAGAAGAAATTGGTGTACGTTTAACTCTTCACAAGTTGAGATGGTTTTGTCAGCGGGTCCAAGACATATCAGGCCAGCCCGAGACATAGACATACAGGGATACCAGGTTCTACACATTAAGACATAATACAATCACATGGGAATTATCACAGGTAAGGCCTCAAGTATGCAAGTGAGTATGCTCACTGTCTTCAACAGATTAATTAATTCTGGCTACTGTATCTGATTGGATGGGCTAAACATGACACACTGCCAGTGGCTTCTGGCACTACACACATGGTCTCTCACCAGACATTAGGTGAGCGCAGGCAACCTTCAGCTCCCCAGCAGTGTTGTGGCAACACCTTGAGTAATAGGTGAGGAAGGAATGACACATCAACAATTTACTCACAAATTTTGTTATTGGCTCATAATGAGCATGGCTTTGGAGGGAACACTGCTGTAGGAGCAACTCTGTTTCAGTACCTTTAGTTAACATTAACCACACCTGCCCTATGTTTGCTTTTTAGTGCCTTTATTTCTTCTTCTTCTTTCATGAGGCCAGCAAGCTTCTTTTTTTTTCCAAAGGTTTCAAGATGTAATTCTGTCAAAAGTGCAATGTCTATGGGAATAAAATACAAAATATTCCATATTAAACAAACTGTACTATACACTGTATGACACTACTGTATTACAGTATCCTTAGATGCACTCACTGGATGTACTTTGAGAATTACTCATCCTAGCATTCAACCTTCAAATTTTATTCATTTCTTCTTTCAAATGCTAAGAAAGATACAATGGTACATCAATGGAGGTGATATCTTTACCACTATTCCCACCTGAGAATTGAGTGATGGCCAACTGGCAAGAGAACTTGCTCTCGTGTCGGTGTCGATGGTGCAAGGGAGACTGTTTTGATGATCGGATAAGAGCCTGCACCAGGGAGATAATTTGATTGGCCAAGTTCTTGATATCACTGGCTGTTGGGGCTGAACCCATGAACCTGTTGAGTAAGAAGATGTCATCTAATTTTAACTGTATAATGTGTTATTCTATGTATCTGTGGCCCAGTACTCCAAAAAGACCTAAAAATTTAAGTAAAGGGAATTCTTTCTATGTTGATAAAATATGGCTATTTTTGTTGAATGGGTCATCATGGGAACAACCTGTAATCGAATAATAATACAGTAAATGAACTAGTTACTAAGTGATTAACTGAATAACATTAACTCAATTAGCCAATACCACTTGTCTGAAAATGTAGCCAGTAGTCATGCACCCCTGGCTGCACCAGATGAGTGAATGATACAGTACTCAGTCAGCCAGCAAGGACCCTCCATAACCTGGGCTGCCATCTAGTTGTGGTTGGGCGCACAACAGCTGGGGTCTTTACCCCCACAGCAATGATTGTCTGCTTTGTTTTTCTCGGATTTATTAATTTCCTTCAAGCAGATGACTGAGAGTCTTGGAGGCGTGGTGTGATTTCCTAAGGCTTAGCAACCCCCAATACTGTACAGTACCTCAAGTAGCTACTGGTGAATTGTATTTTTTTTTTCCTCAATCACTTTGAGACAGATAAATATCCTTACCCAAAGAATTCCACAATTTAATTTTACCAACTACTCAATGTATCATCAGATTCTGTACAGTACAGTATATAAATAGCCAAAAAGAAATAGAAAAAGCTTACATATCAGCATACTGCACACAAATAAAGTAGCTATAAATATTGTGACGTGCTCGCAGATGCGCTAAGAGCACCACCACCAACAAAGCCCTGTATAAAGGCTCCTACTAGTAGTCTACGTCGTCCCATTCAGACAGCACACAGGCATTACCCCAACAATTAGACTGGACGGCAGATACTCACTTGAGGAAAGCGGCATAGGCAACATCAAAGGGTAAGACATAAGGCAATGTTAATATGGAGAGGAGCTTCATGGACTTGTGTTTGAAGACCCAGTTCATGAGACCTTGGTTGGCCTTGTTAATAGCATCTTGGAGAATACTTCCAACTGCTTCTGGCAACTGATCAATGATGGCTTCCTGTTGATAAGTTGTGTATTAACACCAATTACTCTTGTACAATTACAAGTATTGTTCAGCAATCCAAATTTTCATGTCAAGTAAATATAACAAAAAATATAGCAGAACAAATCAGAACCATTCTATACAGGTATACTAGATTAACTTATGTTTACTAGGTGTGAAAATTAATATGCATTCTATACAGATAACATTTAATGTGTTTTGCATTAAATATAGGACAATCTACAAAGCTTTAGAACCAAGATATTAAATGAGGCTTTCAATAAAAACCCAGTGTTGAATGTAATGAAATAAATTTCTAGTCGGACCCTCCTAGATAAAGAGAGCATTATCTCTCACCCTTCACACTATGGGGAGAATTAAAGGGATTGGATTTAGCTGGAGACTCTTGGGGACAATAACTATTACATGAACTTTGAAGTGTAAGTCAGGGCAGTAAAAAATGTAATTATACCTTTCTTTGTTGATGACAGTCGAAACAGTCCATCTCGTGCACCGACCCATTATGAGCCTCATGGGATTCCTGAAAGACAACAATATGTTGTTGTTATTAGTAGAAGGTGGTAAGGACTGTAAATGTGGAATCACATACTATGCAGTGCAACCTCGATTGAACGAGTCTAGTCAAACAAATCACTAATTTGTATTAACAAATTTTGATCAAATTCTAAACCCTCCCTTTGGCTAACACTGTCCATCAACCTTAGAAAACTCTGCAAAAGTAGGTGTAGACCAGAGCAAGAGAGGCTTCACACCCAATGCATGCCCCCAAAACCACTAAAACCCCACTCCATCCCAACTTCCAGGCCCCCCCAAAAAGGATAGACAACTTAACTGAACCCAAGTCAGGATAATTGATGTCTTGGCTTGGCTTTAGGGCTTTAAAACAAGCTCATAATTGAGCTTGTTTTAAAGATTTTATGCACTGTACAGTTGTTTACATTTAGAATGAATTGGCTATTAACCTAAATGTGTTATGATGAACTGGTCCTTCAGAAGGCTCATGCAAACAATCCTCTCAAAAACATTTTTTTAATTCCAGTCAACAATTTGAACTGAACATAAACATGTTAGACCAATGAAGAATTTCGTCAAGAGCAAGGTTCGTTCAAATGAGGCCCCCAGTGTACAGTACTTATATTCCCCAAATCATTTTATACCTTGAAAGTCAACATTTTGAAACTTTTGTGATATATTGTGCTGGAATAGTTCTAAGTTTCGTAAAATAATAAGACAATGTCCAAATTACTCTTTTAAAAGTTCAATATAACTTACCGTCAAATTAAATCTAGACTGAACTGCGAGGCATCGTGTGCAATTGATTAGATTGTTTCTTTGGAGGAAATCCAGGGCATCATTGAACCCTTGCTGACACATCTTGTTAAGAACTTTAGGTGGGGGCGGGAACAGTATACGGGCAAAGCGATACAAGTTTTCTTTACTGAGTTCAATACTTGTGTTAGCAAGGTTGATCTGCAGGAATAAGAATGACGTAAGTTCTCTTTCTTGAAAATTATGGAACAAATTAATTAATTAAATTTATATAACATTTTATTAGATAATACTGTATCAAATATAAATGGGAAATATATATTATCATTCAGATGTGCTCATGAATCACTGTTAATATACTACACAACTCTCAATGATTTAATTATTTTCAAAAACAAATAAAAGTAAGGCTGGAGTGACTACTGAGGCAACAGAAGACAACCAGTTAACTGGTCAAGTACACATGCTACATGTAGCTACAGACACTAAGGAATGTAAGGAAGTTAACTGGTCAAGTACACATGCTACATGTAGCTACAGACACTAAGGAACGTAAGGAAGTTAACTGGTCAAGTACACATGCTACATGTAGCTACAGACACTAAGGAATGTAAGGAAGTTAACTGGTCAAGTACACATGCTACATGTAGCTGCAGACACTAAGGAACGTAAGGAAGTTAACTAGTCAAGTACACGTGCTATATGAAGCTACAGACACTAAGGAACGTAAGGAAGTTAACTGGTCAAGTACACATGCTACATGTAGCTACAGACACTAAGGAACGTAAGGAAACAAATATTAAAGTCTAGTTAACTTATTACATATAATATATATCATCAAACTGAACAAAACAATTACTATAGGTATAGCAAATTACTATACAGTACAGTTATAGAATAACAAAAATTATTAGAAGGCATAATATACTGGATAGGAAGAATTATTTAAATTATTTGTTTAAATGTCATTACACACATGAATTATAATAAAATTTTTGATAAAGAGTTCAGGCAAAAGCTATTATGAATAAGCAGCAATACCAAGCAAGGCAAGAAACAATGCAGAAAATAGTAAGACAACAAAGCAAGCTGCACTTCAGAAACGTCACGTTTAAGAACTCACGAGTGAACACACAAGACAAAACATTTAATATAATGTCCTATTATTATTATCCATGAGATGGTGGCTAGCAATTTATATGACTAGAAGATGGATCAGCTAACACCTTCATGCCTATGTGACACCCCATGAAAGGCTCAACCCTGGAAACACAAACAGAAACTGTCTCTAATTTCCGCTTGTTACAACTTGTAATAAAGTTGTTACATCTTGGCTTAACGTGTTTATGACGTATTAGAACGTTGTTACAACTTGCTATATTGGTTGTTATAACTGGTTAGGTGGTGTTAAAACTTGTTCGAACGTTGTACCAACGTCATAGTTTCTGTGTGTGTTTGGCGGGAAGTTCTCCCTACCTTTCCCTATGTTAATTGACCCTAACCCTTTACCTTTTCATTTGATTGCCCCTTCACCTCACCCGACACTTATTCTACTCTCACATGTGTATTTAACAAAAAGTGTGCATCAAAAATTCATTCTTTACGTAAAGATGTTCCAGAGAGGAACGAAACGCTGTAGAAAATAAATCCTTCAATAATTACTGTGCTAGTGTTTCTTTACCATGAATTTTGGTAACTTGACTGCTCTTCTTAATACCGATACTAAGAAGCATAGAAAACTTAGACTGGAAGATCAACAATACCAGCAATGCAGTCATATTTAACCAAATAAACAAATAGATAAATAAGTAAATATATATATATACACACATACATACAGTATATACATACTGTATATATATTTATTTATTTATTTAGTTACTAGAAAGCCACTAACACTAATGGCCTCGATGAGAACGGGAAGCTAGCGGCTTGTCAAAGGTCCCCCCTTCGTTAGTTAATACATGACTCAAAAGGGCCTGGAATGGATTCAACTGGGAGGAGCTTACCAGGTAGCAAGCACCAAGGAGCCTCCCAGAAAGTCTTGGCAATTAGTATAGTACTGTAATGGAATGATAATGTGAAAATTTATAAACTATTTGCTTGCACAACTTAATGCACACCAGAAGGAAGCTTGATCAATTCTCTAAACTCTCCATTTTTAATACAGGACACAGTTCATCTGTCTTTCATAAGAACTAACAATTGAACTTAATATAATATACAATAACACACAAAAACTACCCCTTCAATGCAATAATACAGAAATATGAAACAGTTTGTATAACAGCATTACATTTAATACCAGCTAACTACTACATAAAGTAGTGACTTGAGAACATGCTTTAGCATAGTGATGACACACACTATCAAACTTCACGCCACAAATACACAACAGACGGGCATGTTCTACATCGACCCCAGCAGAGAGTACCGTCATTAGTCCTGCTGTACTGTCCTTTGGGCAGATATCAGCCTCGCCGCAGAATGGTGCAACCGTGACTGTATTCTCGTCCATCTCGGGAAGGTTGTTGGAGAAGCCCCCATCAATGTAACGTATACCTTGTACTTTTGGGCAAGCCCAGCCACTAAACCCAGGTATGAACGCCGAGCAAATCAGGGCCTGTTAGTCATAGTTCTCTTGATCAATATACAGTTTTAGGAAACAGTCAGTTTAAGTGATATATACAGTGGTCCTTTGATTATCCAAGCAAATTCAGACCAAATCCCTCATTTGGTCATCCAAAAGATTGAGTAATCCCAAGATTTTGTAGTCTACTGTACCCCCAGGATATCCAACCAGTTTTTGTATAATCCAGAGAACTTAACTGGACCCTGATCAATACATAGATTCAGAAATTGGCAGTTTACTTTATTTGTCCCATCAGAAATTACACTGTACAGCACAGCACTTATTTTATTTCCTGCAGCTACAAGTCAGATAACCCTATTAGTGTTTTATACTTTTCTAGTTAAACGTCTATTTGTCAGTCACCAATAACTGATTTGCTGACATTATTACTGTATTACAGTATTATTATTAAAAGAAATCTTAACTGCTTAACTTGTATACTGTGCATAATATACCATTCTTTAAATGTGTTATATGAAAACATATAGCTGTATATTTGTCTAAATGCATGAGCCATAGAAGACAGCTTAGAAAATACTAGAATTGTACAGCTAAAAATTACCCTGATGAAGTTGCACAGCAGAAATTGTACAGCTGAAATTATATAGCAGCACAGGACACTCAAAGAAACTCAAGAAAAACCAACAACAGAGGATACTCCTCCTCTTCTTTTGCAGTGTGGGTATTTTCCAGCTAGCACCATCTGTTTCAGATCAGTCCCACAATGTATTTCACTGGTTTGATCTATGCTCTTCACATCTGGAGTTTCTATCACTATTTGAATGACCAGCAGGCGACTGCTTGTTGGTGGCCCACCTCCATCTTTCCTCTCAGTGGCAGTATGAAGCTGTCTGGTATTAGTTTTGTCACTATCTGCGTCTTCATCGCTTTTCTTCGGCTCCGGTTAGGGATGTCCTGTGTGTTTTGTCATAGTTGTTTATTGATTGGCATCTCATGCTTAATACTGTCACTATACTTCTTAATACTTATCGTTCAGTGTTGGCAGAGCAGCTACTGCTTGCGTTCAGATTTGACACCTCCAATGTGTCATTCTGCAAGTTGTCTCGTGCTGCTCCTGAGCCATCCTCGTCTCTTGACCGAATTTTGGTTTCTCTCGCCTCACCTCGGTTCATGGTTTCCCTTTCATTAGTCTTTTTGATGGCTCTTGCCTTCGGCTGTAAATTTGGCGAGTTTCAGGCTCTTCTCTGGAGACAGGAGTTCTATTCTATTGGGCCTGGTGGCCAGTTTCTTCGTTTGCAACATTCTCCTCCTTTTCTGGTGAAGAATGAATCTCCAAGCCTGGGATATCTTGTTTGTCTTAGTGCCTGCCACCTCTCCTACTACCAGCATTGACCATAATGAAACACCTCTTTCTGGTAGAGCCCTGGTGGTACCCTGGTAGCTCCCCGATTCCTGCCCTTCCCTCTAGGTCCATTGGTGGGCTGTTCATCAGCTCTAGAATTGGCTAGTCAGTGGAGTCGGCTGTGGATTGGGGTCAAGCCGCCTGGTGATAATAAGTACTGTACTGATGAGTCTTGAGTTTGAGTGAATCCCTTGTTTTGTGTGAATCATTTGGCTGTTTTGAGGGTTAATAATCTGTGAACTCTTGAGTTGTCTTTTAAAGTTTCACTGACTTTCTGGATGCTTTTTCAGTTGGGTGGCAAATTGTTACTCACTCCCTGCACCTTTGAAGGGGGAAGCCAGGTTTTGGCTCTGGTCCCCTGTAGGCCAAACAGAACTTCTGCGACTGATGTAATCTTTTAGAATGGAGCACAATCTCATTAAGATATCTTATTGAGCCACTGAAACTCTACCAGACGTAGATCTTTAATTACAGTCAATACTAGGCTTTTTCTTCATTGGGAAAAATTCTAATTACTGATTAAAGAATATTATAGTCCTATATAGGCCAAGGTCCTAATACAGCTGTCAAGCATCTAGTTGAGCACAAAATACATATTCTGTTGCTAAAGTACAAATTCTATAATAAAGTAGTCTATACCTTTCTTCATTAGGTATCATTTAAAATCTGTAAACCATTTGCTAAATTTCTTGAGCAATTCATATATGTTAGCTTCTCAGTTAGTATTAAGTATTTACCCCATCAAACCCATGAATAATTTAAAAATTATTTTACATTATGCCTGAAACACTTTACATGTTAGTGGCTTTATTAAATGCACATCCAATGTAACAACTAATTTACTACCATATTATGTTCTGTATACTGTACTTTCTAAATCAAAATTATTATTGTTAATAATACTATTCACTCAGCTACTGTACTTGGTGCTGCAATACATTTCGCCTGGGAATTTACTGGCAGGTAACAGCTACTTTAACCAAATAATTTTTTTACAGAATTCATCAACAATACCGAGTATGAAATATATTCATGGTCTCGGGGGCAGATCTGGGAATGACCAGCAAAAGGGCTGACAGTGACAGTGAGGTCATCGAGGTGAGGCAGGTTATTGCTGCACACTCCGTCTATATAGCGCACCCCATGGAAAGTTGGGGGAAGCCAGCCACTGATCCCTGGGATGAAGCACGAGCACATCACTGCCTGTATGTAAACACTGGCCATCATGCTTCACGAAATGAAGTGGTCAGCAAGAAAAATGAATGCGACTTATCAATGTGTAAATCAAACAATATGCGGGGAAGAAAACCATTACAGTATTTGTTTGTATGTCTAGTTATACTGGTATAATCTACAGTATACAGTACAGTATGTATTCTAGGCAAGTCACAATGAAGGGCAACATGTAAACACAATTATGAGTGGAAAGGGGAGGTGTATATGGAAGTGTGTACTTGGCAATTTGTGCGTGCAGGGTCACACACTACCTCTTATACCCCACTTTTCAGTCACATTGTTGAATGCAATGACTCCTAGTCCATCTCTACCATATATTCATGGTCTTTCAAAATTATGAACGGAGTTGGCTTCTATAACCTGTTTGTTTAGTTTATTCCCCTCTTCTACCATTCTTGCTAAACAAAAATTCTCATCTGTATGGCTTGTCTGTGTCGATCCTATCTTCTCATCACAAGAAAACATAACTCTGTTTGATAGATGCTAAGGTCTCCGGTCTACACAGTCTCTGTGGTGTAGTGGTAAGACACTCGCCTGGCGTTCCGCGAGCACTATGTCATGGGTTCGTATCCTGGCCGGGGAGGATTTACTGGGCGCAATTCCTTAACTGTAGCCTCTGTTTAACGCAACAGTAAAATGTGTACTTGGATGAAAAAACGATTCTTCGCGGCAGGGAATCGTATTCCAGGGACCTGCCCGAAACGCTACGCGTACTAGTAGCTGTACAAGAATGTAACAACTCTAGTATATATCAAAAAAAAAAAAAAAAAAAAAAAGGTTAAACAATGAAGTCATAAATAGAGAAAGACAGAAGACCGTACTGCTCAGTATTAGGAAAAAAAATATCAGTCATGCATGATCCAGCATGATGCACTCGAGTAATTTGGGAGCCATGCAAGTATGAAAATAACAAGAAAAAGTCTGTCAGCTGCAAATAAAGTAATGGCAGAGGGAGAAAAACATGCTGAAACGGTGTTCTTCTCCTGAGGAGATAGATTTAAACCTGCATGAAGTTGACATGGGAATCTCTTGGACAGATATCAGACTCCCCACTGAATGGGCTAACAGTGATGGTGTTGTCATCCAGGATAGGTAGGTTATCACTGAAGCCGCCATCGATGTACCGAACTCCACGGAATGAGATTGGGAGCCAACCGCTGAATCCAGGTATGAATGCCGAGCACAGAATGGCCTACCGATGGTACGAGGTATTGGGAAAATCAGTAATGAGAGAAATACAACTAGGAAAAGTATGTTGACACATGATGAACATATAATAATGTGTAAAACAAAAAATGCAGGTAAATATAAAGTTGTACTATAGGCTAGTCAGAATAATGATGACCTAAACTGATTGAAGTATTATAGAACACTGATTGATCATTATCTAAATTAAATAGCTTACCTGATGAAGAGAAACTTATTAATGAATTTATATATCTTGGAAGCAAATATACATTTAGAGAATCTTAATATAGTATCTTCAATAAAGAGCCACCCCACCGAGATTTAAAAAAAAAATAAAATAAAGTGCTACAGTTTACACAATATGTTTGAAAAAACTTTTAAAATATAATATACAGTTTGGGGTCCTTCACAAACCACTAGCTTCCTGTCCTCACCATACCTACTACAGTGTCGCCACCAAGTTAACAGTGGTAATCTAGTTAAAGTAACCTCAATCCCGTCAAACACAGATGAATGTACAGTGTGCATGCATGTGCGAGGGAGCACACACATGCACACACGAAAGTTTTCTTTTGTAAACAGAGTGGTAGATGGTTGGAACAAGTGAGAAGGTGGTGGAGGCTAAAACCGTCAGTAGTATGTCAAAGAGAGTACTGGGAAGATATGACACCATACCTTACCTTACCTTGAGGTTACCTTGAGGTGCTTCCGGGGCTTAGCGTCCCCGCGGCCCGGTCGTCGACCAGGACTCCTGGTTGCCGGACTGATCAACCAGGCTGTTGGACGCGGCTGCTCGCAGCCTGACGTATGAGTCACAGCCTGGTTAATCAGGTATCTACCATGAGCGTAGCTCTCATCCTGTAACTACACTTATGTAATTACACACATACATATTGGAGTAATATGTATGGAGTAAGAAAGTACATAAGAGTAGATTAGCTGTATACAGGTTCTGCAAATATAAGACTTCTTGGCAATATGCTTGTGCAAGAACCAGTAAAAGCTCCTGTTATTGGCTGGGCCTTCATGTAGTAAGTGGAAAAGTAGGTTTATCATTTTTTCTCCCCAGATTCCATGTATGACTGACTAACCATCCTGTCAGATGAGAATATTGGATGAACTTATAGCCAGCTGTTTAGTCAGAGCTGGTTTGTTTTTGTATTAAGGCAGGTATTATCTCTCCCTTTCCATGTATGACTAACCATCCTTTGAGATGGGAATAATAGGTGAACCTATCGCTAGTTCTTGATCTACACTGTATTATCTCATATAGAATAGGGTAGCAGCACATTGTACCTAATTTTGCTAATAAAAAAAAAAAGGTTTATCAATAAAATTGGGTAAAAATTAAAAACTGACCTAGGCTAGGAATTACCTATCAGAATCTGTCATACAGTATTGACAACAAATTACATTAGCTTATTTTCCTTCAATATTACTACTGTATCTTAATCAAATGCATTCTGGAACTCGAACTAAATTTTTCCAGGCATAACTGGAACCCATATATAAATGTGTGCAAGAAATTGGTGGAATTGCTTTTTCTTCCCCTCTAGTAGTACAGTTGGCTTTGTTCTGGCATCACAACTGGGGATCCTATCTTGAGGTTATCTTGAGATGATTTCGGGGCTTTAGTGTCCCCGCGGCCCGGTCCTCGACCAGGCCTCCAAATCCTGGGTTTGATTCCCGGGCAGGACCAGAATGGTTGGGCACATTTCTTTTCACTTAATGTTTTTGTTAACCAGCAGATAATAAGTACCCAGGAGTTAGGCACCTGATGAGGGGGAGGGTCCTGGGGGAGGGGGAAGTAGTTCCACCCTGAGGGGAGGGGGGGACTTCAATACCAGCTTAACATACATATGTACACGCACTTTCTGTCCCCGACAAAACTATTTATTATTTAAATATTATTTATTCTAGTACTGTATGCATTTCTTGTTCTATTTACATACATATTCTCTTGTAAAATGGGACCAAACACCACTATTATTTTCCATAAATACTGACTTAACTGAAACATAAAAATACTGTATGTGAGGAAAATCTGTTTGAATAAAGTACACCATAACAAGATGTATATAAAAGATATAAACCTAACCCAACTTAATATAATTGTTTCCCAGAGTGATGTTACTGGAACCAAGCGTGGCGTGGTCCCAAACACGTCCCGACCAAGTACTGTACCTGTATGAGATCTTCTTTGGTGTCAAACTGGGAGAGAAGGATGTTCTTGCCATCACTGATCCTGGTGACGGAGATGAACAGCTTCCCACTCACTATGAGGTGAGCATCATCAGGAAGAACCTGCCCACAGACACTCATCTTACTCATCACCATCATTATATCTAAACATCAATTGACTTGCGCATTACTCGTTAGTATCTTTCACAACAAATAACAGATCAAATGCATCCAAAAGTTTTATGAGCAGACATATGACAAGTAACAAACAGGATGAGTCATTACACTTGAGCCAATAATAGCTACAGCTACTCAGGTCCTCCAATGTTAGCTGTGGGAAATAATTATCGTTGTGTGAATGAATACTAAATACATCATCTAATTACTCTATAAAATAAAACTTCTTTATGAGAGGTAAATTCTCTGCTGCTAAACTAATTAATAATTAATACGTAAATGTTAAGTGCGCAGTGGTCCAAGGCGACGTAGCCTTGGACCACTCAACATTATAGTCATACACATTTACAATTATATCTTGACCGAAATAACATTAATTCATGTCGACAACTTGTATTCCATTAAATACAATTCTGGCGCCTCTTATCATCACTAAATATACGTACTTGAATGAGACAATATAATACATCTCAAAGGGATAGAGAAGCTTAGGCTATGTCTACCCCTACCCCCCCCCCCTGACCGTCTAACCCTACCTACCTACCTTGAGGAGCTTGCTTAGGGGGATCACGAGCCCTGCGGCCCGGTCTCCGACCAGGCCCAGTACCATCCTAATCAAATATCTGGGATTAAACTAACCCACAATATTGTATGTGGTGCCCAACAAGTCTAAAGTAATACACAGTCCAGTACTGAGCACACTAACAAAGAAGAAGTCACTCACACTAAGAAGTCCCTCTCTGAGAAGCTTCTCTATATTGAAGGTGGGGCTGAAGGGGCCCAGGGTCCGTCTTCTGGCCTCAGTCGCGGTCTTTAATACTGACGATGTAATGGTACCTGCAACAATAATAATAATAATAATAATAATAATAATAATAATAATAATAATAATAATAATAATAATATTAGTGTGAGGGTCTGCCATGCTAAAGGCAATGGCTCCTGTAGGACCCCATTATCGTACATATACAAATGTTCAATCATTACAATATCCTGTATAGCCTGTTATCTAAATAAAATAAAATGTTTATTTAGGAAAGGTACATACATACAAGAAATTTTTACAAAGATTGGTTGACTTATAGGTAGAGTATACGCCCACACTCATCCTGTGGGTGGTGGCGGTAGAGTACATAAGTATTGGTAAACTTGTGTAGTTTACGGACAAGATAAGCGTAGGTGTAACACATCAGTATACCTGACAAGAGAGTGCTGCGATTCAACCCATGTGTTATCTATACATTCATGATAGACGGCTCTTTTATCTGTATTAGTGACAACTACGATAGGCTTAGTTTTCCGATTACATTCGCTAAAGATCTAAACTTATTGAACAGATGTAATCCAATCTATAATTACATTTTAACCAAAATAAATACTAAATACTTAATACAATTATTCACCGAAAACATATACAAGTGAGAGGAAGACCGACTGACTCACGAAATATTCAAGTCATTTAAATATTTTGAAAGTTTCCTGTTTGAAAGAGGGTGGTTGTGGGGAGGGGGGAGGGGGGGACCTGGGACACAAACAAATGGTTTTGTTTGTGGGGAAGGGGGCGGGGGAAGGGTGTAGATATGACCTAGAGGTGCAGGGGAAGAAAAATATGTATATAAGAACATAAGAACAAAGGTAATTGCAGAAGGCCTATTGGCCCATACGAGGCAGCTCCTATTTATAACCAAATATGAGGCACACACTGTCAGTTATGATAGCTGGCTAACCGCACTGCTAACACGCCTGTTTGCTAGCCAAGAGGAAAGCTTATACTCTCTCTTGTTGGGGTGAGGGAAGGTTGTTGGAGGGGGGGGGAGTAAAGACCATAGCAAGAACAAAGCCAAGGGGGAAACGCTTGGCGCTGTCCACACTATGCAGGACAAATGGTCTGGGGTTAGGGACGGACATAGGCAGGTCGGGGTAGGCCTAAGTTAAATGATTTAATAATTATTATTAATTACTGACACCCCCTCCATCCGATTAATTAATGACACCGTTCTCCATCCGATTCTCGCGGGTTTAAGTTTGGTCAAGTGTGAAATATTGGTAGAGTTGACCCAAGAGTTTTTCACCCGAAATCATTTCCCTAACACAGGTGACGGGTCTCCCAATCCTGAGCACTCCAGTTGCAAACTCTGTGAGCAGGAACTACGGCATGATCTCCCGCACTACATCACTGAATGCCCAGTTATTAGACCTTTCAGACCAGTTGGCATGAGGTACCTGGAGCTTTGCAATTACTTTATTCACTCTCGTATTCTTGAAGATATCCTCACAGTATACCCAAAATTTGCCAGTGCAGGCTATTAAACACATGGCCCTGTATGACTAACCATCCTGCGAGATGGGGACTTGTATTACCACTGCTACCTTATTCAATCTTGTGTTGTTGATATCCTCAAAATGCATCCGGAGTCTGCCAGTGCAGACCGCCTATCACATGTCTCTGTATGACTAACCATCCTGTGTGATGGGGATTTTATAGCATCACCTAGTTAGCTTTTTTTGACACACTGTACTCCACTTCATATAGTCTAGGGTAGCTGCACTAATGCAGATGTACCTCATAACTTAATAAAAAAAAAATAAAAAAAAAAACCTAACACAAAGTAGTTTTATTGCTTCTTAATGTTTTATGGAAGGGAAGTGGGGCTAAGCCGGTGGGACATACACAGCCCCGCTCCTGTGCCAGGTAAGTCCACTACGGGCTCACCATAGCCCGTGCTACTTGGAACTTTTGTTCTGAGTTGCTGAATCTAAAACAACAACAACATAAGCCTGTGGGGGGAAGAGGGGAGGGAGAGGGAGAAGGGGAGTGAGGGAGGAAGGAGGGGGCCTGGGGTGCCTGTTAAAGAGGAAGGCCAAGTTATAGCTCAAATTAATGTAGGATTGTATGAAAATGTTAAAAAAAAAACGTGAAGTGAAAATTGTCTAATATTTGCTCGCCGTTAAATATCCGTTGTTAAGTAAATTAGAATGAGTTGGTATAAGTTGGCGGCGAGGGTTGAGGAGTTGGGTCGTTACCTCAGTAAACACAGTCATTCATGGTCTCTGGTGGTGCAGGTTCACTTTAATCTCTTCACTATAAAGTCCGGTGACCCCAGTTGTGTCTGTTAATTGATAATAACTGTGTAACTCTTCCCGTTTGGTAAGTTTGTTATATCAACACTTTAGTCAAGTGTTATAATTGATCCCCCCCCCCCACGTTACGCCAGCTCAGCACACATGTCTCTCCAACACACACGGAACAAGGCTCACGACTGTACACCAGCTGAGAGATAGTTGTGAACCCAAGTTAAACTGCCGCATACATAACTAGGTGAGTACATTGCCACAAGACATGTATCAATATTTTGTGTAATTAGCTCGAGTAATGTGAGGTTCTCTTGGTGTAAACCGCGCGTCTTAACTCCCTTAAGACCAAGCTTGGTGGTGCTCCTGTTACACCCACAGCCTTGGTGAACACCAGACCTCCCTCCCTCCCCCTCTCTCTCTCTCTGCCCCCCCCCTCTCTCCCTCCCTCCCTCCCTCTCTCTCTCACCCTCCCTCCCTCTCTCTCTGTCTCGTGTGCATCAAATGTTGGTCTACCATTTGTGGCGTACACACACTTTACTGATGACCAGACCACACACTAGAAGATGAAGGGACGACGACGTTTCGGTCCGTCCTGGACCATTCTCAAGTCACAATCGACTTGAGAATGGTCCAGGACGGACCGAAACGTCGTCGTCCCTTCACCTTCTAGTGTGTGGTCTGGTCATCATACTTTAGCCACGTTATTGTGACCCATCGCCTGCATACACTTTACTGTCAACGGGTCTTCCTCTCCGTAGGATTCCTTCTTTGTCTATTCAATATATCTGAGTCAAATCACCAAGGACTAATTAACTGCTGTGGTATTGTCCCAGCCAACTGCCAGTGGTCTCCGTGACCTTCAGACCTTTATGTTGGTCATAGTGTGACGCAGGTTTGCGGGTCTGCGGGGTACACCTCCCCTGCCACTGATATCATCTTGGCTCATGGTTGGGGAGGGCTTTTTTCTTCAGGGGGGGGGAGGAGTAAAGAGGGTGGAGAGGCATAGGTGAAGGTAAAGTTTAGAAATGGGAATTCCAATGTGAGTTATGATATGAGGCGGGCTGTCCGCCTTGCTGACACCATGTGTGGGTGTTGGTAGCTAAGCTAAGCTTGCTCTCTCATGTCAGGGAGCTGTGTGTGTGTGAGGTTCTTCACGTGCATTTCTGCATATATATAGGTTTCTATAGGTGAATACTGTGTAGCATTCACTGTACACACTACACAGGTTGGGAGGGTGAGGGTGGAACACAAGGGTGAGGGTGGAACACAAGGGTGAGGGTGGAACACAAGGGTGAGGGTGAGACACAGGGTGGGAGGGTGGACCACACACAGGTGGGTGAGCATGGCTGGCAGACAACCTGTGCTGGGGTGCGGTGAACAGGGGCTTCCACCGCTGCCAGACGCTCACAGGACGAACCAAACATACACAGAGATAAGGTAAGCTCATGCGTAGAAAGTAAAACGTAGAAAGGAAAGCAAGAGGTAAGGAGGAAAACAAGAGGAAGGGAGGAAAGTAAGAGGAAACGAGGTAAAGAGTAAACAGTAGTACAACATTAAGAGCAACAATAGACCACTGGATCACGTCTTGTGCGTTAGTCATGAACCTGCACATTGTTAGTAGCAAATGACTGGACACAATTGGCACTGTTCGCCTGGCGCCCTGTAATACCACGTGATTCATCCCTCAGACAATAGTGTAGCAGTACAACCCCCTCTACCTATAAGCTGGCTAATTAACAAAAATAATTGTCGCAATCTAATTAGTAAATTTATTATTTACCAATAAACTGCACACACAACTCTGACATTTGAGCAATAAACATGTAAAATAAACGCAAACTAAATAAGATAAAACAATGA